CAAAGGCATGAATGGTATTATTATTTTTACACTCGGAAAATTGATAATTTTTTCCCTGTTATTTGGGAAATGTTTGCAGTTCTTGAATGGCCATGGAAACCAGTAATAGTACCTCGTATGTCAGTCAGAGGGATTCCTCGGCGGATTGCATTCCGTGGCTTGTTGCTTCTATCATTGAATGTCTGGCCATTGTCATCCTCAATTTCTTCACCATTATTGTGTTTGTGAAACAGCGTTATCTACAGCGCAGGAGTACATACTTGATCATCCATATGGCCATAGTCGATCTCTTGGCTGGAGCAGTTTCGGGTCCTGTGATTGCTAATCATCTTCTGGGGCTCTATTGTGATTTATGGAAGCGAACTGACACGATTTATCCATTGGCTAATTTGTTTCCCATAACCTCTCTTGTAAATCTCGCTGTTATTTCTTTAGAAAGAATACATGCTACAATCTTTCCCTTTAAACATCGCGTGATTAAGAGAAGGGTTTACGGAATGACAGTTGCCGCTATTTGGTTTCTAACTTCATCGAGGGAAACTGTTCAAGTTGTTTTATACAGAACACAAGGAAATTCTCATCTTGCGATATCATTCTCAACAATTACCTTGGTGTCATTTTGGTCACTTCCCCTAATTTTGATTTGTGTCTCTTATATTTCCATTTTCATCAAAGTTCGATTCAGTCCCAATCCTCAACATCATGGTGCAACCGACAGAGAGAGAAAACTGACCGCCACCATATTAATTGCAACGCTTGCATCTTTGCTGACGTGGCTTCCAGTTACAGCTGTCAGAATAGTTGAATATTGACATGAAGGTGTTCTCTTACGCTGGTACACTCAAGGGTCCTTCTTTCACATAGAAATGACACTAGCGGCTTTAGCTGGCGCTAATTCCTTGGCAAATCCTGTTGTATATGCCATAAGGATGCCAGAATTTAGGGCAGGTATTGTCAAAATGTTCCGCAGAACCCCGAGCACTACATGACAAGCTGATTTGCACCTGTCAAATACACAGATCGCGAGCGCGCATCTTAGTATTGAACGTCAATCAAATAGACACATAAATACTCACATTTGAGCATTGAAAAGTATTAAGATTATCCTCAAAAGTATAATGTAATGTACACTAGTTTGCTGCCGGAGAATTAGCGAGTAGGCACATTCTTAAAACATATGATCGGTTTTGTATAGCCTTTGTTCATTGGTTGGTCTTATCGAACTGCCTATCATTGTTTATGCGAGCCAAAGAGTTGTTTGCTTTAACTTAATGAAGACCTACCATCAGCTTGAAATTAGTTAACACATCATCTTTGAAGAGTGCTATTAACAGCCTATTATAGCTATTAGGAATCATTGTTTATGCGAGCCAGAGTTGTTTGCTTTAACTTAAAGAAGACCTACCATCAGCTTCAAATTAGTTAACACATCATCTTTAAAGAGTACTATTAATGGGAAGAATAACAGTCCTGTTTCTACCACACTTAAAATCATTAACATATCCCGTCCCTTAATCAATTCATTAACATATCCCGTCCCTTAATCAATGTCGGCTAAAAAGTTCATGGAATCACGATCCTACAACATTGTTTTGGACGGGGGAAGGGGGCGAATAGGTTAAGTTGACAAGGGCAAAAGAGATAAAATTGAAGTAATAGGAGGTTAAAAAAGATCATTGTGTCATCACTTTTGTCGTCGACTGTAGTTCTTCCACTCAGCACCTACGCGATGAACAGTATCCTTTTATGGAGTCAACTAAGCTGGCATTTCTTAAGAAATAGTTCTAGCATCAATCAACTACGCACTTGTTTAATAATATATTTAAAACACAGGAAATTGAAAATAAATGTGATTAACAAAAACCATCGTCATTCTATCGAACAAACATCGGGGGAGATTTTGCTCAGGTGTCAAATAACGAGTCCTGTAAAGGGGGATCTTACTTATTCAACGCCCCAATATTTAAAAATGCAGGGTAAAATTTGTCTCACACGGTCGTGAATATTTCATTTAGTAAACCGAAACTAACTTTAACTAATAGGTCCCTACATCCTCGATTAGTTTAAAATCATTGTGCCTCGTGCTCCAGCAGACTGACAGCAAGTGAAGAGGTAAAAGTGAAAGGACTAAGAGGCTCGGTTGACATGCGAGTGAGGAAAAGAGCGCATTTGATTTCTTTTGATGATAAAATAAAAGTCACGCAATCCCCTATTTGTAAAGTTTAGTGTCAGAGAAGTACTTTAAAATAAACCCACAGAGAGGGGGGTCAGGACCCCCTATATCCTCCCCCTGGGTCCGCTAATGCACAATCCGACGCAAGATGTCCTGTGGTAGTATCTTTCAGATCTCCTAGATAAGATTGCTCCCTAACTACTATGATCATTGTTTTATATTTCTTCCAGCACCAGTGCTGTATCATGAGTTAACCCAGCTTCGCAAAGAGTTTGTTGTACTTCAGATAACTGTTTTCTTGGGTACGTCGTTAATATAGCATGACAAGAGGGCGAATAACCCAGCCAATCAGCATATGTAAACAGCACCTGTAGACAAAAGAGTAACAAGTTAAAAAGAAACAAGTTATATAAATAAAAACGGTCAAATCTCTGACCAAAACGGGACACACTTCAGGGCTCGACACTAACGGTAGCCCACTAGCCACAGACTAGCAAAAATTCAGTTTTAGCCAGTGGTTTTCAATTTCCACTGGCCAGTTTGGCTAGTAAACAAATTGAAATTGTCGTAACATCTAAGATGTCACATGCCACTTGGTTAGTAAGTTGAAAAGTTAGTGTAGACCCTGCCTGCACCTGTTAGCGGACGACTCTGCTACCCATCGCTGTAACAAAAACCCTTTTGAAATCTTATATTACAGGTATACATTTGCTCATTCAGGTAAGTTAACCTGTGCGAGCCTCTCGCAACAACTGTCGTCGTTCTTTTGTTCGTCTCGACTGTCACTCAGGGCCTGTAACAGGCTGTGGAAAAAGAACCCTGTGACCTTTGCAAGTTAAGGGATACACATCTCGTCTCGAAATCCTATAAGAAAGTTATGGCGTCCTGCAATTAGCGCTTTGAATGGGTAACCTATAGAAAGGCAGCCAGCAAAGAGAAATCGTAGACTACAAGCAATCTCTCCGTTTCAGCTAAGTGCGTCGCGCGAGTCAAAAAAAATATGTAAAAAAAAGTGTTTCTATCGTGGAGCTGCCGAGAGCTCCCCGCCGCGCGCAAACATCAATTTTTCTTTACTGGTATTTTTTAACTCGCGCAAAGGTTTTAAAAGGGAGAACTGTTCGTAGTCTACAGAAATCTTGGTAGATCGACTCAAATGTGTGTGATTTACCATAACATCCAAATTTCCGAGATGCATTCGACAACCTCCGAAAATTAGCGAAGACGCAAGAAGGATATTCCGATGAATACCAAAAGTGAAAAATGTCCTGTAAACCTATTATCGACCTTTTTTTATTTGACGGGTGTGANCACCCCAGGGGAGGACATCCATCACACAGTAATCTCGTGTGTGGGAGATTAACGTCTCCTACCCCAACCCTGCAGGAGACGGGACCTCCATTTATTCGTCCCTATCCGAGAAGACTAGAATATCTAACCATTTCTTGAGGTTATAGAAAGGTAGCAAATTCTTCTCAATTATTTTAAGACCCTGAGTGTTGGTCCTTGTCAGCACTTTAGGAAATCCATGGAGAAAATTATTATGAATATGCATACTGTTGATGGGGTGTGAAGGGCTAAAGTTACTCTTCTTCATGTGGTATGTTGGAAACAATAAAAACATAGATTACCTCACAGCTCTGACTGTGTCTCCTTTGACGCACAGAATTTGTCTCATTCTCTTCTTTTCTAGACATGCACTTGTGGTCAGTTCCAAATTCAGTGATGTTTGAAGTATCATCATTACGTGGACTCTCTTCTGTGTCTGTTCCTAATTCTTCTGAGCTGGGATCTTCATGAAGCAAAAACTCTTGGGACAAAAAGTCATCTTCAGCTTGTTCTTCTACATGTCTCCTCTGATCAAGTAAGATGAAATTTTTGAGAACAATGATTGTCACTTAGTCTTAAAGGGATCAACCTCAAGTAATTCAACACTTTTCAATAATAATAATAATAACAAAAGCGACTTTTTGCCTCAAGCACAATAATACAAAGGGTGATGGTGATGAAGAGAGAAACAACTGGTACAAGAAGGGTAGAAACGAAGCGGTAATATTTGTACAAGCAACTCCGAAGTCACAGCTACAGAGGAGGTACCAGGAAGAAATAAAGCCGCAAAGTTTCAAAATCAAGGTGGTAGAGAAAGCTGGTGTTGCGATTAAAAAGTTACACCAGAGATCCGATCCATTTAAATCACGAAAATATGAAAGAGAGGATTGCCCAGTGTGTAGAGAAGGTGGGAGAGGACCTTGTGATCGACAGAGTGTGACTTATGTGATAAAATGTGCAGAGTGTGGCGATATCTATATCAGAGAAAGGTCAAGGAGTGCATATACAAGAGACAGAGAACACATGAAGTCACTGGCCAAAAAGGAAGAGCGGTCAGTCTTGTGGAAGCAATATAAAGAGAAACACAACAGTAGAACGCAGAAATTCGAGATGGACGTTACCACGTCTTACTCCAAAGATACCATGCTGAGGCAAATATCTGAGGGTGTTTGGATAGACAAAGTACCAGAAGGTTCATTGATGAACTCTAAGAGCGTATGGAATTGTTTCCGTGTCCCCCGCGCGATAGTGACGCAAGACCACATAATATAAGTTACCCCATGTTGGCTTACATGACTTCTGGGAACATACAAACATTTTTAATGCATTTTACATGAGGTTGTTTTTGACCCATGAGGCTCGAAGAGTGAAATATATTTCAAGATTCTTAAAGCACTGTTATTTTATTTTTACAGTTTCTATACGTGCGTCGAATGTTATACTCGAGACGTAATGTCTTATTCTGCAAGTAGTTCAAGTTATTCAAACGCATTCCTAGCCTCGGCAGCTACTATTTCTTTACAATAATACAAAGCACTTTTGTTAAAAAGAGTCGTGTACTTTTTCATAACACCCAAGTAACTGTCTTAATTAGTGTCTGATTCATGCTGAAAACACATGTTTAAACATGTTTGAATACTGTTAACCGCTAACTACATCCTTTGATTATAATTTTAATTTGTGTATTTAAAAATACACACAAAACAATTGGAGTTGATAAAAACTTTCAAAATACAGCTGTTAAATGCATTTTTTATATGGCTGTGTCTCACAATGACCGGGAACTACCGAATTCACAAATTTGATCCATTGAAATCAGTATTGAAAGCAGTCTAGATTTTCCCATCTAGACCAGTATCTAGAACGGCATCTAGACCAGCATCTAGACCGGTCTAGAAAAAAAGGTAAAAAGGATATAAAAAATTGGCATATTATAAGACACAACCATATAATAAACATCTTGTTAAGCGAGCTAGGTCGGTCTGTATAGGAGAATCTTGACCTTGGGCGCTGGTACAGACTTCACTGCGTTCGGTCTGCACTGGCGACCTCAGTCAAGATTCTCCCATACAGACCTCCTGCTCCGTTGGTTAATAAGAACTAAGTAAAACTCTACTAGCAAATCTCACCCCTAATCTTTGACCCCTGCCTCTCCACCTGCTGTCAAACTTGTAAAACTCCTCCTCTCGCTTTGCCATAAGAATCTCTTCCCTTGGTTCTAAAATGTTCTCTCTGTAGATATCCACCTAGAGCAATTCAAATGTCCCATGATTAGTTTTGTGGATGCAAGTGTACATTTAGAATAGAATAGAATATTTAATTTAATATAATGGACACTATAGAATATACCAATTTACCACAAGTTCTTATTACACTAATACTTGTATGTAAAAATTTTTCAGTGAGTATATGTATATTCCATATTATTAAAAACTGGATCATTGGATAANGATTTAGACTGCCGGTTTGAAAGATGAGCTTTTGTTCAAGAGTTTTATGGCTTTCTGTGCTACCTAAGTGTAAGGAAAGACCGCAGATTCCCATATGTTGCTTAGACTGATTAGGTAAATTATTTAAACATCTAGCGACTGGTTTTGATGTGACCCTGTCATTCCTTTCCATTTCACGAAGGTGCTATCGGAATCGGTCACCTAGTCTTCTGCCTGTTTCACCAATGTATATCTTTTTGCAATAAGTACAAGTTATGCAATAGATTACAGTGGTGGAGGTGCACCTGAAGTGATCGGTGATCTTAATGGATCATTTGGGTCCCAATATTTTCTCAGTGTTGTGAATGAAAGGACACGTTTTGCATTGTGCACAAGCGCATAATCTATTATCTGTAGATTCTTACAAAATAAAGTCAAGAAGATTTGTCTAATATCTTGGGGGCTTTTTTTAATAAAAAAATTATTCTACTCGCGCTTGTTGGATACGAGATTAGCCAATGCGGCACTATGGAACATGTTGGCTATCTATCATCTCATATCCAATGTGCGCTCGTGGAATAACTGTTAAGTATTATATACTTATTTCTGGGGTATAGTTTACAATAATGATTAAGTTCCTCCCTTCCCTAACCCTTTTTTTAACAATAATATATGATGTATATTATTATTATTTCAAATAAAGTTGCTATAAAAAAAGTTTATCAAAGCTTATTTCTAATTTTCTACCTACTGAAGTTTCATTTTACAAGCTATGTTTAATCTGTTCAAGTTTAGGAGGAGGAAATTGTACTGCAGACATCTATAGCGTACATAATGGTACTGCATATATGTCTGCAGTACCATTATGTATGCTATATAATCTGTCTTTTGAGATGAGTCAAGTCCCTAAATTATGGAAACATGCAAATATCACTCCCATTCGCAAGGACGGCGACCGTGAGCCGGCTGAGCATTACAGAGGTATCTCATTATTAACCATCACAGGAAAATCTCAAGAAAGATTGGTGTATGCTGCAATTTTTGATCAAGTTAATGATTTTATTCATTCTTCTCATCATGGATTCCTGAGGGGTAGATCCTGTACAACACAGCTTCTTTTGGTACATCATGACTGGTGTAAAGCCCTACATAACCGTGGTCAAGTCGATGTGGTATTTATTGATTTTGCCAAAGCCTTTGACCTTGTGAATCATAATATTCTCTTGACTAAATTATTTAAGTATGGAGTCCGTGGGCGTCTTCTGGAATGGTGTAAAGACTATCTCACTGATCGTAAGCAGAGACTTGTTTGTAAAAGGGGAATTATCTGACTGGCTGACAATTACCTTTGGAGTACCTCAAGTTTCCTTGTTGGGACCTTTATTTTTTATTTTTTATATCAATGATCTACCAGGGGTTATAAGTAAAGATAGCTCAATCACCTTATATGCAGATGATAGTAAATTAAATAGGATTATTAATTCTTCAGATGACATGAAGTCCTATCAGAGTGACTTGGATAAGATAGGTGATTGGTGTAAGGATAATAAAATGAAAATAAACACAAAGAAATGTAAGATCATGAGAAGTACTATGAAAAAGAGTCCTTTAGTTGGGGACTATTACCTAAACAGTCAGAGCTTAGAAAGTGTACATATACATAGGGATTTAGGTCTCCTCACCAGCTCCAATTTATCATGGAACGCACACGTAGATTCTCTATGTGCTGAGGCTAATAAGATTCTTGGTCTGGTGAAAAGAACATGTAGAGATTTGAAAGATATCACTACACTGAAAACATTACACTGCAGTCTTGTCAGACCCCTGCTCGAGTATTCATGTGAAACCTGGAATCCACATACACAACGCAATATCAATAAAATAGAGGCAATTCAGAGGAGGGCAACTAAGTTTATTCTTAAATCTGATGAGGATTATGATGTTAGATTAAAGAAATTAAAATTACTTAATTTATTTCATAGAAGATACGTCAGGGATGTCGTTTTTTTATTTAATTTAACGAATGAGCATTAAGATATGGATATTTCTGATAAGTTGCTTTTCTGTAAAGATCGTAGTGTAGATTATAATTTAAGGAAGAATGATTCTCTTGACCTAGTCAGCATGCACAGTAGAACAAATATTAATTATTTTTTAAATATAGCTTTTTTATCTGTGTTGTCAATGAATGGAACTGTCTTCCAAATAATATAAAGGATTCTGTTAGTATTTCTAGCCTTAAACATAAAGTTACTTCATTCCTTGGTAATACTTAGAATTTTTAGATTTGATTCAATGTAATACTTAGATATCAAACTCTATACTATGATAAATGTTTTTTAATATTATATCTTACTGGGGAGCCCCTCGTATGGTGTCTAGGACGCTTTTGGATGCTGCCTCTCCATCATCATTATTTATTTATTCTGTTGATGTTTAAATCTTTGAATTTATTTATGCATCTATTTAGTAATTTAATTTAATCTAGATTTGGAGAAACTGTAATAAAATAAATTAATGGATTAAGCTCAGCGGTCAGTTGATAGGAAATGTTCCACTGTGGTATAGAGTGATGTTTTCTCTCACTGTTTTTCTTTTCTTTTTTTTTTTTTTTTACACCTCTGCTACCACACTATTTGTTTATGTTTACGTTAATTTACCTTATTATCTTGCAGAAATTGTTTCATTTGCAACGCTCTTTGCCTTCTTTCTTTCAATTCTGCGTCGGTATATTTTACTGAAGAAAACAAGAACAAACGCAAAAAGCAGATGGTCATCTAATCATGATTTCAGTAAAAGAATTATTGAGGCTATTACCTGTATTTCAAAGGAATCACACTAATTGTTGGGGTGATTCAGTTAGTTTAAGGAAACAACTTTGCCGGAGTATAAAGACGCATTAATTACGATTTAAACGCCTGACAAATGAGCAACAACAAAAAATATTCTTGGCATTAGCTATGCCACGAATACAGCCTGTAATTAGAGATGTTTTTCTGGCATACAATGAAACTTAACCATGAGCACACATTGTTGGCAAACCGTTCTTGAGATAGCTAATCTCACAAACAGATCTTCACGTTTAATACACGTAGTATACCTTGACTGGTCTGTTGATCTTCCGAAGAACTACGGAAAAATTTGCCCAACAAAATACTAATAGGTGAGCCAAACAAATGCATAAGGAAGGTCAAAAACCCAAAGCCGATAAACATCCATAAGAGAATCATCTTTAGAGTCATTGCATTAAGTCCACCCCACACAGCCAGCCCCAAAACACCACAACCAGCGATCAGTACTACCCATGTTTTGTCGAACGCCATATTGTTTACTCACTGAAAGAGCCTGGAGAGAACCTCACCTCTGAGGAGGGTGGGGAGAGTCTCGTTTCCATGTTTACTGTCATTATCGCGACATGGCTACTCTCTGTAGGGTGTTCAGGCAAAGTTTGTTGAAAAATTCACTTTTTCAAGCCTCTAGATGTTTAGGAATTCGAAATTTCTCAGTGGATATAGACGATGATGTATCAGGGATCACATCTGAGCAAAAACAGGTTCGTTTTAAGGGATTTGTTGTCATCAAAACACCGTTCGTTTGTAAGGACATGTTCGTACTTTGGTTGTGTAAGTCATTCGATCTGACGCAATACTTTACACACCTCCGACACACCTCCAGTCCTCAATGTATGCAGTTAAATTGTAGTATGTTTGAATGTTTATCCATCAAGTATGAAAAACACTCAAAAATCTAGATCCAAATTACTGTCAGCTTAAAAAATCTCGTACGATCTGTTTTATTATTATTATTATTACGATTTTTTTGTTTTCGAATTGATACAACAAAATCGCGAGCCTCCACGTTTCTCGCAATTGCTCGAAAATTTATTTTTTGAGGAACGTGTAATATAAATCTATTCATGCTCTTAAGTCATTTAGGGCAATCACAAGGCTTCCCACCCTAAGTCGGATACAGTCGCCAATAGGAAATAATTTAAAACTGGCAATTAGGTGATGATTCTGTACTTGTAGTAAAGGACAGCCAAAATTAACTAAATGTTGTGGCTAAATGACTGGCAGGCGGTCAAGGTTTTCAAATCACTAAATGATCGGCAGTCTGATATTTTGCTCAATTTTAAGGAACCGAAGAAACCCATCCAATTCAAGCTATCATATGTCTAACCATTAAGAACTGCCAAGCAATCCAGGAAAGCTTTTAAGATTGCAAATCTAACACTTGGTTTACGCTCTGCTCAGAGAGCAAAACCATGGTTTGTGACATTTTAGTCTTTTTTCAGGTCGACTGCCGGTCATGGTTTTCAAATCATGAAATATCAGACTGCCGGTCATTTAGTATTGGACTAGCGATCACCAAGTATTAGACTAGCGATCTTCAAAGCTTTAATTCTTGGATCCCTTGGCAGTTCTTAATCGACATATGATAGTTTCAATTGGATGGGTTTCTTCAATTCCTCAAATTTAAGCAAAATATCAGACTGCCAGTCATTTAGGGATTTGAAAACCTTGACCAGCTGCCAGTCATTTAGCCACAGCATTAACTTAAAACCAACAAACTAACAAACTGTTTTCAAATAGTAGCTTATAATCTTTTATCAGCATGGGCAGAAGTTTCTTGGTACGTAGACATAGTTAAACATTCATTGAGGCCACAAAAACAATTTTACCACATTGAGGTATGAATTTGATCTTTTCACATGAGTCTAACTGAATTGTGATATCAAACTTGTTCTGAATGAAATGAAAAAACTGACCAGTAGGTTGACCTTGTGAAATATTATTTGATAAGCTAAATCTTACACACCTTTTGATTGGTTCTTACTTATGATCCATTGGAGGACAAACACAGGTGAAATCACCATTAACATCTCCTTGCTTTAACATAAAATAATACAAATGATTTCCATGTTGTTGCGAGTCTGTACAGTAATATATCACAGAAGGCATCAAAATGTGGTAACAAAAATCTTTAGTGATGCACCCGGCTGCACCACAGGTATTTATTTTTTGTTCTTACTACTTTTCGACATCATCTGTGATCTTTCTTGAACAGATAAGCAACAGTAAGGAATCTCTTTGTTAAGTAGATAATTTCCCCTGGGAGAGAAGTGAGAGATTTTTCCTTCACTTAAAAATACATAGAATTGAATTTAGGGTAGCCTCCTTGGGCTTTAATTTTTATATCATGTAGCTTAGATTAATGCAGTCTGTAAACAAGTTCTTTTTACAATCATGGAAATATAAGCTGCATGAAACTATTTTAGGTGAATTATTTTTTACAGTTGAGAGAGACAGTGAGCAACTTCTGTCAGAAAGAATTAGCCCCATATGCAGATCAAATTGATAAAGAAAATAACTTTCTGCAGTTAAGGGTAAGTAAGTTTGCTGGCAAGAAGAGACCTCACTGCTCTGCATTTTATATTTTGCATTTTGTCCATGTAGTTGAATCTTTTCAAAAGTGGCACGCTCTAGACAGCTGTCTTTTTCTCCTTTTTATGAAGGATAAAATTTTTCTTTTAGTTGGTTAATCAGCCATAAGTTGATGAGCCAGATAAACTGTTCTAGCAAATGTTTAGAAGATACTCATTGTTACTGTTGATTATCTTAAAAGGTACACCTCCACTCCATCAGAAAAGTTGTTCCTCTTCAAACTTAAACTTCTGATTATTTTTAAGTGATAGAAGTTTGAATTACACACATTGTACTGGTCAATAAATGTGGAAATACAAGTTACTCTACTTGAAAGGAATAATAGGTAGTTAGTGAATATCCTATAATTATGCTGTTTCTTTTTTTAAATTCTAGGATTTCTGGAAAAATCTTGGCAGCTTAGGACTTTTAGGAATAACAGTTCCAGGTTTGCACCTCCTTATTATGAATCAAATTTGCATGTTATTTTAATTTTAGTAGTTTTTTTTTAACTACATTGTAGCTCTCTCTTAAGGTTTGTTGACTGTCCTTTACAGCAGTCTGTTAATTTGACTCTTTTCAAGAGCAGCCATTATTCTTTTCAGTCTGTCAGACAAAACAACAGTTGTGACATTTCAATGTTATGATTTGCAATGGCAGCAGAACATGGAAGCACCCAGGTTTTGTATTCAGTCTTGAGAAACTGTTAAGTGTGGATAAGGGTTAAGTTACATTATTCAAGCTTAATAGCTCATCTGGCCAGAGCTTATTACAGTTTCCCTTGGATGGGATGCCAGTCTATCACAGGTTACTGGAAAGGATTTCTTCGGGTTATCCATTTAGCTTGTTTGCATTTTAATTCTTAATTAGAATGTGATTTATTGTAAAACTATATGATATAGCATAATTAGAATAGTATAATAATTTTAGCCTGGAAGAGCCAATTCATTTTTGGACTGCTAATAAACCTTTATTATTGTTATTGTTATTGTTATTATTATTATTATTATTATTATTATTATTATCCGACAGTTGTAAAAACTTATGTTTGCCATAAGATCATATACAGACTGGGGCAATAAATGTGGCCCAGGCTGCGCGTAGTAATAGAATCTTCCTAAACTTTGAAAACGTAAATAGATAAATAAATAAAAATTATTATTATTATTTTTATTATTATTATTATTATTATTATTATTATTATTATTATCCGACAGTTGTAAAAACTTATGTTTGCCATAAGATCATATACAGACTGGGGCAATAAATGTGGCCCAGGCTGCGCGTAGTAATAGAATCTTCCTAAACTTTGAAAACGTAAATAGATAAATAAATAAAAATTATTATTATTATTTATATTATTATTATTATTATTATTATTATTATTATTACTATTACTATTACTATTATTATTATTATTTTTATTATTATTATTACTCTTTGGTGCACTGTAAAAGTTAAGTGTCTTAGCGAAGAACACAACATAATGACTGCCCAGGTCTTGTAGCTAGACATCTCACCTGGGAATCCAGGGCAGTAACTGCATTTATCAAGGCCACTGCATTACTGACAATAACTACAACTGCAACCTGTAAATCGGGCAAATTTAAGTGTAAACTTCTGACTTCCCATAAATGTTCTTTCCACAAAAATTTGTTGTCAGCTTCCTCAAGGAGGGCAGTAATTTTAATTGCCAGTAGTTATTCTATGTATGTTCCTTAGAACAATTCCTAATTATTTTTAATTATTATTATGGTACCATAAACTTAATTTGTGTGAACTCTTGTGTTAGGAGCAATTCAAGGCTTTACTTTTTAGTGTTCAAGGATTTATTTATGAATGTGATAATGAAGTCATTTACTATGTTTAATATTATTTCAGAGCAACTTGGTGGATCTGGCCTTGGATATTTGGACCACTGCATTGTTATGGAAGAGATAAGCAGATATTCTGCATCAATTGCCCTCAGTTATGGAGCACACTCCAATCTGTGTGTCAATCAAATTTCCAGAAATGGCAGTGATGCTCAAAAAGAAAAGTACTTGCCTAAGGTTTGTTATGAATAAAAGAAATACATATCCTCTTAATTATTACAATTTTGTAGAGCAGAAAAATGCTGAGAGAACTAAGGGTATAAGATGCAATTTGTTAACTTATTACTTCATGAGTGTGAATAATCTCAATGTATAAAATATGAAAATCAAATGTGTGAGGACACTTTTAGAAATGAAGGTGAAAGTGATCTTTGCAGTAGTGAACACTCCTTGCATGTCAATGGTAGTGAAATTTTTTTCAGGCCTTAATTCTTGAAGTGGTGATCGTTACTGCAAAGATCGCTTTCATATTTCAATATTTTTTTTCATGTTAGAGCTAATTACGTATACAATAGGTAAAAGCAAACTCACTCATTCAAAACATTATGTCTTAAAAACTCATGAAAAGATCACTTGCTCATGCTTAAATTAACTTGCAACAGTCAGATGTTCATGGCAAACATTTCTCCACAACAGGAAAGAGTCTTTTCCTTTGCTCTTTTTGTCAGAAAGTTTTGTCTCAAAAATTTCAGAAATCTCATTTCAAATAAGATGGCAGGAATTTATTTCTCCAAGTATCCCCTCAATTTATTGATTTGTCTATTTCATTATAGTAATATTATTTTTTATGTCTCTTAGTTATTAAGTGGTGAACATATAGGTGCCTTAGCTATGAGTGAGACAACAGCAGGATCTGATGTGGTGGCCATGAAAATCAAGGCAGACAAGAAAGGTTATAATTGTTTTGTTTTGTTTTGGTTTTGGTTTATTTTTTTGTTTTGTTTTTTTGTTTTTTTGTTTTTTTTGTTTGGTTCTTGTTATAAGTGGTAAATGTACATCTATAGCTATATTTTCGTTCATTTGAAAGCTTATATCTCCTGCAAAAGACATCTTGATCAATGTACTAATTAATTCTCTTTTACCTTCATCTTGTCAGAGTTGTGAGAAAAATTAATGTGTTGATGAGATCAAATACTGGCAGAAAACCACATTTTTATTGAATCTAGACCTTTTTTTGCATCATGAAGTGGTCATTTTGTTGGTCAGTTACAAAGGAAGTTGTACAAACTTAAAAATGATTCTCAATATGATACAGATATAAACTAAATTTAAAATTTAAATTGATCAAGTGACACTAATTGTAGTCAGAGCTGATTAGATAAGCAAGGTTGTGATTAATAAACAAAAGGTTTAACAAAAAGGATACTCGATAGTACATTCCTTATAATAGAAGTGGTGACTGGTCCATACGTTTTATTTCAAGATGAGTTTGGTGTGAAGAATGTTTATGAGTATGTTGAATGAATACCTGCATTTATTGTATTCATTGCATTTCATCAGCAGGTTCATGTTTTTGGAAGACCACTCAATTACATCAATAGATGGTTTTGTGAAAAATGAGACAATCAGTCAAACAGTCAAATAACTAGAACTTCTCTTTTGTAGGGGATTACTATGTTCTGAATGGGACCAAAATGTGGATAACAAATGGACCTGATGCTGAAGTTCTGGTAGTTTATGCCAAAACTGACCCCAGCAATCCTAAACCACAACATGGAATAACTTGCTTTTTAATTGAAAAGGTACTCTTGACCCTTTTCACTTTCATCAATTACTCAACCAATTATATGGACTTCTTTTAATTTGGTAACGTTGAAATCACATTGCAGTATTTACATTGGACATTTTCATCACCTTCAATATGAAGCAAAATTTTTATTTTATTTTTTCTTGGGCAAAACATTATCTGAGGTAACAACTGTCCCTCTCTCTCTCTCCATGTTCACATATCACCAGGGTATGGAAGGTTTTACAACAAGTCCCAAACTGGACAAACTTGGAATGCGAGGATCCAACACCTGTGAATTGGTATTTGAGGATTGTAAGGTTCCAGGTGGGATATAATAATTTGATTAGATTTTTCTCCCATTGCACAAGTTAAAACTTGAACTACTAACATTAATGTGTACACAAGAGTTAGATAAAACTGTTTCAAAGAAATGTTTTCTCTTGTTTTACAAAAATTTTGTCTTAATGTCAATTTTCAGCTGCAAATGTGATGGGAGGGGAAGGGAAAGGCGTTTATGTCTTAATGAGTGGTTTGGATCTGGAGAGACTTGTGCTGGCAGCTGGACCTGTAGGGTAGGTTTATCATAGTGCAGTCCTCTATATACTTGTGTTAGTATTCCAATGGCAAAATTCACTATTCTAAACAGGATAGCCAGTGAAAATCGCTCTAAGACGAAGAAAGAAAATGTCACTTAAAAACAGGCTTGCATAGTAATGGTCCATTTATCAAATTATCAAATTCTGTTGGTTGGCAACTATTTTCAGCATTTGAATCAGTGTGATCTCAAACTGAGTATGATTTTTGTACCTGTCAGTGAAAGCTATGGCTACGTGTACATGCATAATTGAGGGAAACAGTAGTGATCAGTTACTTCTGTAACAATGACTGTGTATGACAATATCACCTTAAATTTTAAACAAAATATTTTCCATCAACTAAGAGATTAACAAAAATAGTGCTCAAGAGCTCTATTTAAGTGTCAGTGAAGCACTATACAGACCAGACCAGAGCCACCTTAAACTTTCAAAGTTTGAAGATTCCCCTGAAAACTTTGAAGTTCAGAATCTGAAAAGTAAGAGTGATTCTTTAATATTAAATAAGAATGAGAGGCAAATAACAATGAACAACGGTGGAACGGTTGTTGTTTGACATAATCTGATACAACAACCTGTTTGTTGGTCTGCAGTTACACACTGTATTTACTGTTGAACTGCTCAGTAGCATTTATCAAGTTTGAGCCATAATTATCTTTTTGGACCTGTAGGGTGATGCAGGCGTGTCTGGACGTTGCATTTCCATACGCACATCTGCGAGAGAGTTTTGGAAAGAAAATAGGTGAACATCAGGTAAGGCTGAATGTCAAGGTTATGGTCTAATTATCCATACATAATTATACTTCGCTCCACCTGCATGCTTTTAGTCAATGGCGCAACTGCCTGCTCGTGCTCCAGCAAGGCCTGAGTGCTCCATGTCATTATATGTGCTACATGAGACTGGTGCCTCTTCTACGAGTACAGCTTTGAAGCGGTGGCAGGCTTCTTTACTAATTCGTTTATTCAATCGTTCATTAATTTTCTTTTCAGTTAATCCAAGCCAAGATGGCAGACATGTACACGCGCCTTAGCGCATGTCGAACCTATGTCTATTCAGTGGCACGGGCTTGCGATACGGGGCATGTCAACTCCAAGGTAAATCTACAACTGTATTCAAGAGGGAGATCTCGTGGTTTATGAGTGTCGTAACGTTTTATGCAAACACAACCTAGTTAGGACTGCATGTCGTTCAAGAATTTCAGATTTGACAGACTAAAAATACAAAATTGTCAGTCATTTTTTGGCAGTACCTTAAGTTGGTAGAGGCCTCCAAATATTAGATTAGAAAGATAGAAAAACACATGGAAGGCAATGACAAAGTAAGAAGGAACCAGAATAAGCCAAGATAAGACTGACGGAGATTCAAAATGTTATTGGGCTTTGCTTCCCTGTGGTAGAATGAAAGGCTCCTATCGTCGCTCGTTTTTTTTTCTCGTCGCTCCTCTCGTCGCAAGTTTCCGCTGATGTGAGTCGTGTGTTATGTGTCAGTCAGAATCTAAAGAAGAGTTTGAGTTAAAACTTCACACCCTAACATCAGTATGTATGTTCTCCATACTTTGCTTCATAATTTGACGAGTGCCGAAAAGGAGAATTTGTTCAAGAATCAAGAGCTTTTTTAGTTGGTGATCATTTCCTTTATTCTCTTGACCTTAATGTGTGATTCAGGGGTGACATTGTAAGGAGAAATTAGATGCTAGTCACTGTTAGCGGTTAATATCGAAGGTAAAGAGTTAACCAAGTTGAGAGAAAACAGAAACAAAGACAAAACAAAAAATTTCCATCTCATGATACTTGTATCTAAATTATGTACCTTCCTTATTTACAGGACTGTGCTGGTGTAATTCTTTATGCTGCTGAAAATGCAACTCAAGTTGCGTTGGACGCTATTCAAATTCTCGGTAAGTCTCTCTTTCGCCTCTCCGGTTGGATTAAATCGTAATTTTCAGCTACCGTTAAATTTTTTTTTCTACCGTCGAGCGGATAACCTTCTGTGGAAGTCTTTGTTGAAGCGCAAATACTCATAACACACGCAGTCTGGCATTTAAAAATAATGCAACACGCCACATTGCCCAGCAATTTCATGACAAGAGCTACCGATGCGATGAGTTCTTGAGCACCAGAGGTTGCCTTCATCTTACCTATGCTTTTGGTTTTTGGACAATATTATGCTAATTATTCAATGTTGTTTCGGTTTTCTCATTCAGGTGGAAATGGCTACATAAACGACTACCCGACGGGACGATTTCTACGAGACGCCAAACTATACGAGATTGGCGCCGGCACAAGTGAAATAAGAAGATGGCTAATAGGGGAGAAAATTAACTCGCAGTTCCTTTAATTACTCTCACTTTTAACATAATTTATTACAAATCTGTTCTCACAATCCCTGCTTCGGGAGTTTGGCAATAAGCTGTCTCTACTGGACGAAAGAACAAGGCGTAAAAGAAGGGTTGGTGCCGTGCATATAACCTTCGAGAAAATGTGAATGGCGGAATCGTATTTGAAATAATATATATTTTTGGGTGGACTTGAACTCACTCTTAAAAAACAAAGCTAGTGACCGACCTCACATGTAACCTTAACACTCAAGAAATCAACCTCCTATCCAAGGGTCCCAAATTCAGCCTCTCTCCTGGAGTAAATGAACACACAATCACGGGCATCAATATTGCATTCTACCGACTAGCCAACCAAATACGATGGAAACACCACCGCGAATCAAACCCCCAAAAGTCAGATTTTCTTACCTATCCACAAACTCGACACATCTACAGACCCCAGTTCAACGACGAACTTGAAAACAAGCTGCAGAGAATCTATCATAAACTCCAGCTCACTCTCAAAGCTCTACAACCCCAAAAGAAATGGTAGAACATCAATAGCACAGACAGGAAAACTATTAAAGAGCTCAAAGAGAAAAACTACGTATGCCACCCCAGCGATAAAGGTACCGAATTCTGCGTCATACAACAAGACAAATACAACCAAGTCGCCCTTGATCACCTCAGGGATGCCAACACCTACCTAAAAGTATCCCACATATCAGCCAAGACAGTCGAAAATAAAGTTAACACAGCCTAGAAGAAGATCTCCCACCAGAATAAAATTCCTCCCTTCGTCCAAAAAAGCTTCCTTGCGTCAATCACAGACTTGCCCAGATTCTACCATCAAGTCAAGACCCACAAAGCTGGGCCCGATATTAAAATACGACCTATCGTATCCAACATCAATGGACCCACCCAACGCATTTCCTGGCTTCTTTCCAACGCCCTCAAACCGATGCTGAAGAATGTCCCAGCCCATTTAGAAAGCAGTCTCGAACTCTTTAGATGTATCCAAGCTGGCGACCTCACCACAAACAAAGAGCTACCATATCCATGCAGCTTCGATGTGGTATCCCTATACACTCGAATACCAATACAAGAAGCCGTCACCAACGCCACAGATAGAATCCAGAACCCAACACTCCACCTCTCTAAACAACACATCTCAGACCTCCTCCAATTCACGCTAAATAACATGTACTTCTCCTTCAGAGATCGAATTTTTCCCCAAAGAGAAGGCCTACCCGTGGATTCTAACATCTCAGGTATACTGGCCATCCTGTTTATGGACAAACTAGAAAGCATCGCCCTCACCTCATACCTAATGATAAGCCCCTAAATGAGATATGTTGACGATATTTACCTCGAGACAATCAATGAAGAAACAGCACACCACTTCCACCATGTAATTAACAGTGTATTCCCTAATCTGAAATTTGAAATAGACAAACCAGAAACAACACCCAAAGGCATGTCGCTATCATTGCTCGATTTCAAAGTCACCATATCCAATGATGGCAACAGCTCCTTTGAATTCTACAAAAAGCCAGCCAAGAAACCACTATTCGTCCACTATCAATCAGCTATCCCCATCAAATCCAAACTCCACTTCATCCGCAGTCAGCGAAAACGCATCGAAGACAAATGCTCCTCACATATATCTGCAACACAACACCTAAACACGTTCGACGACATCCTTCGCCTCAACGGTTACCGACACTGAGAGCAATATAGAGCAATCTAAACGCCCACAGCACCCCCAAAGAAACTCTCAACCTAGCAACACAGAATGGTCGTACCTCAAGATCCCATACATTTCTGAATGACTAAATCACAGGATCTCCAACATATTTAAGAAAGAAAACATCCCGATACGCCTTTCCCACAAATCCTTTACACTCAGACACGCCCCATCCCAAACCCCCAAAGTACGCAAATGTACCAGAGACAAGTGCCCCATCTCTAACACCGGATTATGTTTACGACGAAATGTAGTATACCAGCTCACATATAACAGCTGCAAACAATAATACATTGGTAGTACGACACGCTTCATCCACGACCGCGTAAGAGAACATCTCAACAATGGAAACTCGTCCGTGAAAAAATATATCTACTCATGCCAAAACAAAGACCATGAAAGCATTGATGTCAAGATCATTATGAATGACAACGACCCCGCCAATCTACGCCTGTACGAAACATTTTTCATTAGAAAGTACAAACCTACACTCAATTCCCGGGAAGAATGTAGTGAATTCGCAGACCTCCTATTTTAGCATCTCGTTTTCACGCTCTTTTACAGCCTTTGTTTATACGGTCCATCATTAGAGCCTTTATTATGTTCCATTCACATTTTATCTCTACAGCTTTCACACATAGTCACGCCTTTCACACACTTCACCACACACTCTTTTTACATATATATATACTGAAATAAATGAAAACCGAAAGTCCTCCTTTTCTTTTTCTTTCTCTTTGCTTTTGCGCTACGCGTTTCAGCGCTGTTGCGGCTCTTCAGGCATAGCTATGCCTGAATAGCTATATATATTGTAAACAAACTGTAAACTTCTGTGTGGAATAAAGATACTGAAATAAATGAAAAAGGAAAGTCCTCTTTTTCTTTCTCTTTGCTTTTGCGCTACGTGTTTCACCGCTGTTGCGGCTCTTCAGGCATAGCAAAGTGTGTTTATTGACTTATTACGTCACAGATCTAATTGTAACTACAATGGTTATTGTAATTCGAAGCACGCGTGAGCAATTAGCGTAATTTCAAATCATTAAGAACGGATTTATATTTAGAAATAAAAAATCTTTCTTTGTTCTTTCCCATGACCTCAGAAGGGCCGAGAATCTTTTAAAACTGAAAGATAGTGAACTGAGGGGTCAATCCCCACTGTCACTCTATTTCTCAGGACATCACCCGTTTCTCCTATATAATTATGTCCACATCCTGCACATGTTATTACGTAAATCAAGTTTGTTGATGTGCAGTTCATCGAATGTTTTATCCGAAATGTTTCATTCGTGGCGAAGAAGGTGAATTCTTTACCCTGTTTTAAATAGGGGCATGTTCCGCAACGTTTTGTTCCACAAATTTTAACTTCCGGATCAGTGTCCTTTTGCTTAGAGAAATAGGAGTTTTCTAACATCCGTTTTAGGTTTCTGGGTTGTCGCTGACTGTGGATTACTTTAGTCTTGCTCATAGTGGATTTTAATGAGGAGGCGTCAACGCTCGTACACAAGACAGTGGTCAAAATCTTAAAAGTTCTGCGAATGAAGAAAGAGTCTGAATTATGTCTTTACGAGCACTTCAGTGACTTGGCGGACTTCAGTGATCCGACGTTGCTTTATTTTATTTAGATACACCCGAAAGTTCATATTGCTGATCACTTGGGCTTTCCATTCATACATTTTGAAGACAATGTTTTTCCACGAATGGTTTGAGTACCCCCGAAGATTCATACTGAACCTATACAGTATACAGTAACAACCACGTGCCCTGTTTTCCCGCTCATTTCCCGCTCATTTGCTACAATGACTTAACCGCCTCCCGGTTAGCTCAATGGATAGAGTACTGGACGCCGGCGGTTGTTCGGGAGTTCCAGGTTTCGAGCCCCGGCCGTACCAACCCTCAACTTCGATCTCTCTCAACATGGCTTCCAACGATGAGGTGGAGGCAAGAATTTCTGCTGCAGTGTGCAATGCACTTAGAAATTCTCAACAGGTACGTCTCAAGGCAGATCGCTAGCGGTGTGTTGTCTTCCGAAATGTTAAAATGTCTTGTTGTTGTTGTTATAACCTAGTTCAAAAATAGAAAGAAGTCCAAAATTCCTATTTACAAGTCTCAAGAGACCACAAGAGTTATTTCTCTTTGTCTGCAGCAGTCCAGGGTGCACCAAAAATAAATTACGGGTACAATCAAATAACAACGACAAGACATTTCATAAGTTTCCCGTCAAACACAGCACCAAAAAAATATTTACGAATTTTTTAAAAATTTTGCGGCGTCAAAGAGACGAAAAATAGTTGGAATATAACCACAAAGATCTCCTTAAGTTTTAAAAACACAGATCCTGCAGTTGTTTTGATTTTCAAATTTATATGAATGACTGTTTTGCATATAATCAGTATAATTATTTCAACACTGCCTCAGTTTAAGATATTTCAATTTTTATAACACCAGGTTAATAGTTTTTAGTCGGGATTTCCAAAAACTAAATCTCTAACAACTTCAAAAACTTAAACCGGTTGCTAGGTTATAAGGACGTAAACAGGAATCAAGACTAGCGGGAAAAAAAAACCTTAAAGTTTCGAAAGATGCCTTGTCTAGAACCCTTGTTTGAATAAAGAGTTGTATGCCAAGGCAGTCCTGGAGTAAATCCAACCGTTATAACTGGTTCTTGCTTGGTCGGGATTTTGCCACGCAAACCGTTTTCCTGGCATAATTTCCCTCAACAAACGTATTCCAGCATCAATTCAATTGTACCCCGAACAGGCAGAAGGAAGTTTGTATTAAACCAAACTCAGGGAAGAGGAGGAAAAGGGATAGAAGACGAAAATCAATGCGGTAGAGAGTTCAAGAAATACGAAATATTGTAATCACAATTGATAATTATAATATCATATCGTATTTCAAAGATTAGGTTCTGAATCAAAGTAGGGCTAAAAGATCAGCTACGTTATTTGAATTCGTGTGACTTCTTTGCGCAATTCAGACTTGAAAGATACATTAATATATTGCTATCATCGAGCGCAACGAAAGCCACCAAGAAACAGGAAATAGTCACTAAACGTTTATTTGGTTTAACGGCTGACTGATTGTCAGTATTTCGATAAGGCGCGAAAGGTTTTCCTCACAAGATTGTGTCTCGGTCGGGTTTCTAGCCCGAAAATTAAAAAGTTTGTAATCTGGAACCCAAAAACTGCGGATGTCTCTGTCTTTAAGACTACGTTCAATCCTTGTCAGGTTATCTTTGACTCTACTTTGAAGCTGATCCCTGCCCCAAAACGAATCTTCCGGAAATTCACACCATTCGTGAAGAAACATTGTTTTCAGTACATACGAATGAAAAGCCCACTGTATTCTATAAGAACCGTCCGAAGCTTCAAAGAGGCGTAAACAGTGCTCGTGTTTCTTTCGTAGAACTTTTAGGACCTTCAGCGTCGCTTTATGAATGAGTCTTGGATTCTTAAAGATACTCTTCAAAACAATTCCCTCAGCAACTGAAAACGATAAACGCCAACAAGGCCTGTGTCGTCCCGACTCTCCAATCGTTGAAGCAACGAGATGATAACCCCCCTTACGAGCTTCCTTGAAGTAGCCGTACCCTGGATGTCCTCTACCCACTCTTCTTCTTATATCCGACGCATTTGGCCATCCACTCCCCTTGATACACAAAGTTAAGTCCAAGGAAATTTCATAGTTAGGGTATACCGTTCCCTTCCATCTCAACTTAATAGTAACAGGAATCTTTCTAAGCTCAACTCTGACACTTTCGGCAATCTTTTCAATTGGCCGACGCCTCCTGTACTTTATAGCTTTCTCTATGAGGTCTCTAGAGCTCTTCAAGAGGGCATCTGGCTTCAGATTTCCTCGCTTTGAAATGTAACGCCGATATCGCTGGCGAACTACCTCGCTATCGATTTGAACATGGACGTATCCAGGATCAGGAACCGGTCGGAGCGGAATTTCTTTTATAACACAAACTCCCGGTTCAGACAAGTCATCCAGACAAATCATGAAGTCGAATTCATCAGGGCCTTCTGCTTTGAGATCTTCGAAGTAGCTACCGCTAGGTATAACTGTATTCTTGAAGAGTGGATTTTTGCGACCGATATAGTTGGACATTTCTTTCACCCAGCTCGTGATCCTCTCTTCGATTTCCTTTACCTCTACGTGATTCCCATCGAACTCTGCATCTTTGAGTAAATTTCGCAAGTAAACGTTGTCTAATTGCGCTGATTGTGACTGGCGAGTTGCCATTACTCCACATCGGAGTGTCGTCTCCTTCGTTGTAACTTTCCGGCTTTCTCGGAGCAACAACTAACCAGCCCCAGATCCTCCACGGTCAAGTGAGAACTGGGGATGATTTTTTCCAAAGTCCAGCGGTCTCTCAGGCTACGCAGCCAAAATGAGCTGCGCTGATGGCTAACAGATTCGACTTTGGCTGGGTTACAATAAATCAGTCTTCTTTTTTTGAGACACCAATCCACATACTTTCTCTGACCGTGACAATCCCTCCTAAATGGTTAAGTCTCATAGCTTCGCAGTGACTTTCAGCCGGAACCTTGTGCACGGAAGTTTACCATTTCTGCGTTAACAAGACACGTCAAATTGATCCCGTTATATCCAACCCTGAGGTACCCAGACTGAGAAAGATATTCAACTGATGCAAACACTTTTAGATTAATTTAGGAACTATTTATCCGGTTACTTCATACCATGATGCGTATTCAGTGGTTTGTAAAACTTGAAATGTATCCTTCCTTGACCCTGACGAGTGGCAATTAAAGCGAGGGAATGTGATTCAACGGCAAAAATCTGGAAGGATCCTGGGTGCGTTGATTCGATCAAGCAACAAAAGATTCTTACTTTGTCGTCTTCCGAAGACTTGGAAGGCAAAATCTCTCAAATGGCTTAAAATTGCTAATTAAGGACAAGACCAACACAAACAACACTTTAGGCAAGTAAAAAGACTTATATTCATTTTATCAAGTTTTAAATGTCCCTATTTGCTTCTTATGCTTAAAGCCGCAAAATAGAGCACTTGAGCTTCTTGAACCGAGAGGCCCTGGAAACCAGACCCTCATCACAACTGCTGAGTTCTTTCCGAGAATTCCGGAAGTTTTCCCTTCAGCCGGATCTTCGTAGAGAACAACAGTCATGTCACAAATCAGAAACAAGCTGTTACGCGACTTATTCACCGAGGCAGAATTTGATAGAGAACATGATGAAGTGAAAGAGATAGAGGCAGCCGTAAGGCACCTTGTTAACGAAATCGCGGAGACAATCGCCGAGAAAGAGCCTCTTTTTAATAACACGGTACTGCAGAGTGGAAGCTTTTATGAAGACCTTAAAGTTGAAGGACCCAATGAGTTCGATTTTATGATTTGCTTGGAGAATTTGTCGCAACCTGACGTTTGCGAGGTAAAGGAGATTCCGTTTCGATCAGTTGGCGATCCAGGATATGTCCATGTTCAAGTAAGAGACTCCGACTTGCGGCTTTCATGGCAGAGATACGTCTCAAAGAAGAAACAGAACTTAAAACCTAAAACTATGTTGGAAAAGTTTCAAACTCTTGTCAACTATGCGCTTGCGGAGAAAAGAGAGCATTTTCATGAGAAGCTATCGAAAAATTTTGAGGCAGAACTTAGGAAAATCCCTGTAACATTGAAACTCATCTGGAATGGAACTAAATACACGAACTATGAAATATCGGTGGATTTAGTCTTGTGCATCAGAATGGCTGGATGGCCGAACGATTCCGATGTGAGGGAAAGGTATAACAGATCTCATCCCAGTTATGAGATGATCCGACAAGCAACTCAAGAAGGGTATCATCTCATTGCGTCTTGCATCGGAGAGTCAGGCAAACCTAGGCCTTGCTGGCGTTTGTCGTTTTCGAGAGCTGAGGGTATTTTGCTTCGACACCTCAGCGAAACGTCACAACTCGTCCACAAGGCAGCGGTCAAAATCTTGAAAGTTCTGCGAAAGAAAAATGAGTCTCAGCTATGTCTTTACGAGGAAGAAGTGGATTTCAGTGATCCTGACGTTGCTTTCGATTATCTAGGAGTACCCGAATGCTCATATTTAATCACTTGGGCGTTCCATTCGTACATATTGAAGACGATGTTTCTACACGAATGGTTCGAGTACCCCGAAGATTCTTACTGGACCCAGGAAAAACTTGCTAGGCGAGTCTACAGTGTCCTAGAAAGAATTTTCAAAAGCCTTTCAAAGAAAGATATTAGAAGTTTTTGGTTGCCTGAGTACAAATTGTTTAACTTTCGAGCAAGGTTACCAACCAGAACGAAGGCATGCGAAGACAAACTTTCTACACTGATGAAAAACTTCGCAGCCCTCACAATTTCAAAGAGCTAGTTCCCCATGCAATCAAATACAGTACTAAAATGTTTACGATTTCTTCCCAAATTTTGCAGTGGAAAAAATTGAAAGAGACCAAAAACAATTACGATATAATCCCGGAAACTCCTTTGAAAAACACAGGTACCGCTGTTGTTTTAATTCTAATTTTAATGGAAGATAAGTTCTGCCTATAATCAGTATAATTATTTTCAAAAGTAACCCAGTTTAAGATATTCCCGGCATTTTACCAGAACACCAGGTTAACAACTTTATGTCGGAATTTCCAAGTAACTCTCAAGAAACTTGAGAAAGGTTTTGGTAACAGTGGATTACGAGCAGCAACCCAAGACACAAAATAAAATATCCACCGCAAGTCAAACATTCAGTTTAGTTTCACTTTAGACTTCAGTGACAAGTACTGGTTGCTAAGTTATTAGGAAGTAAACAGGAATCGAAACTAGCACAGTTTAGGTATAGTGGGAAAAAAGCTGTAAGTTTCTGCGAAAGACGCATTTTCGCGAACGCTTTGCTCCATTGAAAGGAAATATCATTCTGTTATTCAGTTGTTTGCATGTTTTTATTCAGCTATCCATAGAGTATTTTATTGCAATCATATTGATGTAACGCAATATTGAGTTAAGCATATTAAATCATGCAAGGTTATCCTAGGGGAATTTATGGTTCCAGATCTCCTTCCAAATTAAAGGAGGGATTTTTCAACTATACCAAGAGAGTATAAACTGTTTATAATCTCTTGATGATACTAATTCCTCAGAAGGGAATCTACGAATTGGTTACCTCCCTACACTGTTACAGAAATGTGTGTTAAGGCCGAATGAAATTAGCGGAAATTAATACATCGCAGAGGAAGTCACAGAAGTCTTCGTGTGACATAAATATAACTTTATGGCGAGCTATATCGCTGCTACACAAATTTCCCCCATACAAATCGAAAAATTTAAACCCAATTGGTTTGGATTCGTGCACGGATCGGAGCGATATCTCACCCCAAAATAAATCAATAATCCGAAATATTCTCATCACCATTGACACTCGCAGTTCCACCACAAATGATATTACATACAAGCTTGGGCAAAACACTGAGATTCAGTTGAACTTCATTTAATATCTTGTGTATAAATCGAGCATCGCACTCTACAGAGCTCTGTATGGCCTGTCAATCAGGCAATTTAATTTCCGCTGAATGGTTCCGCTTCTGAGCAAGAGTGAGAGATTAGTTAAGTATAATGCAAATGCTTGTGATTTCAAAGAATAATCAAAACATCGAAGGAACATATAATGACATCGGTGAATGCAATTAGTGCAAGCCAAAGAGAATAAGAAAATGGTTGCTCTCGACAAAAAAAATACTTTAAAAAAAGTGAAAAAACTTGTTATGAAAATTAGATCGTGAAGTTTTGTATAAGTGATGTTAAGTTTTGCACGCAGATGTTTGTTTGGGTCGGTTTTCTAGCACGAAAATTGAAAAGTTTATAATCTGGAACCCAGAAGCTGCGAATGTCTTTGCTTTTTAGACTGCTTCGAATCCTTTTAAGAATACCCTGAACACGTTCTCCAAGCTGATCAGAGCCCCAGAACAAATCATCTGGAAATTCACACCATTCGTGAAGAAACATCGTCTTCAGTACATACGAATGAAAGACCCATTGTATTTTGTATGAGACGCCTGGATCATCTGGATCTTCATAAAGACACAGACCGCTTTCGTGCTTCTTTCGTAAAACTTTGAGAACTTTGAGTGCCGTTTTGTGAATGAAACTTGGATTTCGACAAATATTCTTCAAAACAATGCCCTCGGCAACGGAGAATGATAAACGCCAGCAAGGCCTGTGTTTTCCTGACTCTCCAATTGTTGAAGCGACGAGATGAAAACCAGCTCTAACAGCCTTTTTAAAAACTTTATAACCGGGATGGCTGCTATCCTTAAGTCTGGTTGGTATGTCTGATTTTTCTGGCCAGAAATTGGGACCTTTAATGCATAAAGGTAAGTCCAAGCATATCTCATAGTTAGAGTATTTCTTTCCTTTCCAAGTTAACTTGATTGTGACAGGTATCTTTCTAAGCTCAATCTCGATATTTTCATCAATATATCCTCTTAAATGATGCTTTTTTTTCTTTACAGCTTCTTCAATGAGATCCTTGAATCTATTCAAGAGGGCATCTGACTTCAGATTTTTTCGTCTCGAAATGTATTGCTTCCACCGTTCGCTAACCTCCTCGTGTTCAATTTGTACATCTACGTAACCTGGATCAGGAACCTTTCTCTCGATATCTTTTATAACACAAACCCCTGGTTCTGACAATTCCGTCAAACAAATCATAAAGTCGAATTCATCAGGGCCAACTGCTTTGAGACCTTCGAAATAGCTTCCACTTGGAATGACAGTATTCTGAAACAGCGGATCTTCGCCACCGATGTAATCCGAGATTTTTTGCACGAAGCTGGTAATTCTTCTTTCGATTTCCTTTACCTCTTTATGTTTCCAATCGAATTCTGCCTCTTGATAGAAACTTCGCAAGTATTTGTTGTCAAAGTGCCTCGACTGTGGCTGGTGAGTGGCCATTGCTCTATGTTGCCGGGTCGTATTCGAAGAAACACTTCAGATTTCGCGGAAGATTTGATGTTATGCTAATACATTTCGACGGTTTAGCGAGGGACAATCCCTGTTTGACCTTTAAGCTATAAATGGGTTTGACATGTGCCAGATACAAACGACTTTAAAGGTCGGCACACACGAGGGGACTAGTCCCGGCGACTAGTCCGTGCGACTAGTCCCGGCGACAAGTCTTTCAAGGGTTTACACGAGGGGACCGGTAGTAGGGACTAGTCCCTTAAGGTGTTCACACGAGGGCACTCAATTGCACAAGAACATAGGAAAATTAAGAGGCAAAAGATGTTTCTTAGTCTGGGGCGTTACACGAAAACGATGAAAATTTGGTAACTTTTCATTGTAGCACTATTAAACATCAACGCAAATGAACTACACTTATTCAGTGGGATTATTCATGCTTTTACGTGTTCCGTTTTTGTTTTTGTTTTTTATCTTTAAAAGACACAGAGTCAAATAGGGTAAAAATTCTATCAAAACGGCTCCAAGACATCTGTATATGTTTACAAAACTAGAAATAGTTTTTTATTCTTCAGTTGTAGAGATCTAGAATTCAGGGAAAATTCATGGAAACTGCAATGTTTACAAATACCGGAAGTCACGCATCATACTGACCCGTGATTGGCTTATTTACCGTTTAGTCGCAGGGACTGGTCGCACAAACAGTTCACACGAAGGGACAAACATTTATTTCATGCGAAAAGTCCCTGCGACTGATCACACGAATTCAAACCAGACTGAATTCGTGCGACCAGTCGCAGGGACCAGATTTTGGTCCCTGCGACCACAGAAATGTGTAGTTCACACGAAGGGACTAGTCGCATGAAATTAGTCGCTGGGACTAGTCGCAAGGACTAGTCCCGCCGACAAGACTTTCAAGGGATTACACGAGGGGGCCGGTAGCAGGGACTAGTCCCTTAAGGTGTTCACACGAGGGCACTCCATTGCACAAGAACATAGGAAAATTAAGAGGCAAAAGATGTTTCTTAGTCTGGGGCGTTACACGAAAACGATGAAAATTTGGTAACTTTTCATTGTAGCACTATGAAACATCAACGCAAATGAACTACACTTATTCATTGGGATTATTCATGCTTTTACGTGTTCCGTTTTTTTATTTTTTATTTATTTTAACAGACACAGAGTCAAATAGGGTAAAAATTCCATCAAAACGGCTCCAAGACATCTGTATATGTTTACAAAACTAGAAACAGTTTTTTATTCAGAACTTCAGTTGTAGAAATCTAGAATTCAGCGAAAATTCATAGAAACTGCAATGTTTACAAATCATACTGACCCGTGATTGGCTTATTTACCGTTTAGCCGCAGGGACTGGTCGCACAAACAGTTCACACGAAGAGACAAGCATTAGTTTCATGCGACAAGTCCCTGCGACTGGTCTCACGAATTCGAACCAGTTTGAATTCGTGCATCTAGTCGCAGGGACCAAATTTTGGTTCCTGCGAACACAGAAATGTGTAGTTCACACGGAGGGACTAGTCGCATGAAACTTGTTGCTGGGACTAGTCGCAGGGACTAGTCCCCTCGTGTGTGCCGACCTTAAAAATGGTGCTTAAGATATGAAGCCAATTATATTTTATGCAGCTAATCATTTTATAAAATGGTGCCTTAAAAAATATGGAGCACTTTTTATGGAGCCAATTATGTTTTATGCAGCTAATCATTTTATAAAATGATTAGCAGGATTAGCTGCATAAAAAAGGCTTCATAAAAAGCGCTTCATATTTCTTAAGGCGCCATTTTATAAAATGATTAGCTGCATAAAACATAATTGGCTTCATATCTTAAGCACCACTTTATAAAAAAAAAAACAGTAGCTGAATATTGGCGGTAGGGGCACCCCATAGTTAGTCACACTAGTACTTTTGTTTATTCAAAAGCGTATGCTTCTTTCCTCTTCAATTGACAGGTGTCACATCGTGACAGTTACTTATCAACAAAATATTTCGGCGAAAGCTTTCTGTATGCTTTAATTTGAATAACGTTTGTTTTCTTTATAACTCACTCGCTATCAATTTGTTAAGTTCAAGGACTTCAAGGAGGATTATCGCGTAATTAAATTCGTAATTGTAGCCCTAAATCAGTCGGGTTCTTAACAAATGTTATTCACCAGCGTAGGCCGGTCCCTATTGGAAAAAACTGTGCCCTCGGTCTTGAGTAACGCCCTCGGCGTACGGACTCGGGCGGTATCCAAGACCTCAGGCACAGTTTTTCCCAATTAGCACCTCCCGGCTGGTGAATAACATATATGAGCGACGGTCCCTTTTATTGCCACAGGAAACGGAAATGGGTCTGTTGACCTTTGATCTCATCAAAGATTCGCGCCAAAATTCAACATTCATTTGCATTGTAATTGTTGCGGGAAGATGGCAGCTTCTTTCAAGCTACCGTCTCTCGTGAAACGAAAACCTCACGTTCATTTCTGGATACAACTATTTACTCGCTATTAATTCTTGTGCCTTTGTATGATTTTTTTTTGTTTGTTTGTTTGTTTTTTTTTTTGTTAAGTCCATTACCGTTTATCTCTATTCAACTAACAAACATGAAAAAACATAAAAAAAAAAAAAAAAAAAATTATTCCACTGGCTGTTGAATGATTCGATGAAACAAAATTAGGATTTTAAACTGGTGCTGAATAAAATTCTTCGCCTAAACTTATAAAATCGTTTGTATCTCGTGCATCTCAAACCCATTTGTAGCTTAAAGGTCAAACAGGGATTGTCTCTCACTAAACCGTCGAAATGAACTGCATAACTTCAAATGGACAAAATTTTTAAAATTGGCTCGCCATTACGTCTTGTGATCGCCCTCGTATGAAATTGTTTTTTTTCTTGGTGTTGTTGTTAAGTCCGTTACCGTTAAGTTTTTTTCGATTTACAAACAAGGAAAAACATAAAAACAAAAAAAAGTTAGGTCCGCGTTTTACTAGTCCGCGTTTTACCAGTCCGTGTTTTACTGGTCTGCGTTTTACTAGTCCACGTTTTATTAGTCCAGTCCAGTCTAGTCCTCTAAATACGAAATGCCCAAACTGACCACGGCCAAGTGGAAACTGGGCCCAAGATAATGCCGACGACGACGACGACGACGATGATGAGCTTTAATTTATCTGATAAAACTAATGAGCAATCTAATAGATTGGTTGGAATAAATTAGTGATCAGCATAATAAATGGTATCAATCAAAATCAAGGGAGTAACCCTTTGATTTTGATTCACCTGGCCCAAGATTAGTTCAGACTTCATCTCAGGCCTTGCCGATCAACTCAAGCAAATGTTCGAGGCTCACAGTCTGCCTACGACCAGCGAACAACAAAATTATAATTTTCAGTCGTCGAATACAACTATTAGGCAGATTTCCATTATCATGGTAAACCATCTTCAAATGGTTTCAGCATACAACTTAACGTGGATTTTCCAGAACCTCAAGCATATGCCCAAATATATATACTTAGGAGGCTATATATATATATCGTCCGAAAAATGGTCAATTGAAATAGCTGTTTGGTCTTTTTTACCAGAGTGCCGACGGTTATGATGTCAGTAAATTAACGCACCGGCCCTCACCGATCTCACGTGGGTCACCCAGTGAGGACTGTGGATACTTCATGGCAATTCGTTTAGAGAAGTGGATTCACTGGAACGGGGTCGTGTGGCTGCTGCTCTTAAGCGGTCCATTGTGCTATAGGTGAGCGTAGTTCTCGTAATTTACGGGAGTTGCTCATCTGTGGGTTACTTTTCTCTTTCTGATGACTAACTGGTCTGACTCGGGTTCCTTGCCGAATGTGTTGGTAAGTTGATCGATCTCTCGATCGTGTGCTTAACAAATTTATGCGTACACCCCAACCAAGAAGCTCTGTATCGCGACGGTGGATCCAGAAAATATGAAGAAAAGCGAACCGACTTAAATTTCTGGGGAAATGCAATCATTGCTTCATAACCATGCACCAAAAAAATACTAAATGATAGGGAAGAGAACTCGCGAGTTGAAATAACATAAGTCCCCCGCAAAAGGTAAACATCATCACGTTTAAGTTTTGTGAGGAATCTTCTTATTAACTGGATCGGAGTGGAACCTTCCCGGAGATACAAATCAACCATCTCCATAGTGGATTAGGAAAGTGGGTTTCTTGAATCAGGTTCAAACTGCAGTTTCTACGATCCTACACAGAAACGTTGAATATCTGGAGGAGCAGTCGCTCCCAGAAGGTGAGGAAATAGCCACACCAATATGTTTGACTGTACACGCACAAAAAAAAAAAACAACTTTAAAGATTCTCAAAAATCAGTAACCTCAATGAGAATGTGACGAAATACGTGGTTCTTGCATTAGCTTGTACAGCAAACAGTAACAGGCACGGAGGCAGTGGTTTACGTTTCAAAAATATTTATTCTGTTCCAGAACTACGTTGTTTTTGCACCATCAAACGTAGCTTTTAAATTACCATTGCACGTTCATTGAAATGGTTTGGCCGTGAAATAAAAATAGTTTGCCCTCTACAATAGGGCGCAGTGAGCACAATTCCAGTTTTTAACCCTTTCAGCCCCATCGTTGATCATCTTCAATATTATCTCTTTGTTAGAGCAATATATAATTAAGAAACAGATGTTGCGAATCACGGTTTAATAAATGGTTTAATAATCATAGGGCTGAATGGGTTAGTTGTTGAAAGAAGTGCAATCATTAAAAAGTATAAATTCAGTTGTGTGTGTAATTTTATACCTTACACTGATTTGAGCGCAAACGGATAATTAAAATAAAATCTCTTTCAAAAATAAACTGAAGGCACCTCGCCAGGGGCCCATTTCCCGAAAGTCTCGGTAACTTAACGGACCCATAAAGCTGTTCTGTTTTCATTCAAAATGGGGATGTCAAAAGTTTTGAAAATGGTACAATAAAACTATCAGCTAAAGGGACCAAAAGGACTGGTTTGGGTGCCAGAACCTGCTTTGCTATCCTTTAAATGTTGATTTAAAACGTGGCCTTGGGCCCGTTAAGTTACCGGGACTTTCGACAAACGGGACCTTGAATAAAAAAACAAACCAACACAAATGTAATACTTTCTATGAAAAGCTTCTGTTGCACAACTAGTACATGTATATTCTACAATGGCCAGATAGAAAGCTTGTCCTGAGTAATCTGCGGTAAATCAAACTCGATTCTAGTCGGTAATCACTTGATATCGTTACAAAAAAAAAAATGAACACGGACGTTTATGAGACGGTTACGTCGCCCGGAAGTAACTTCTTCCCTTTCGTTTCGACATCAAGGAACCCACTGCAAAGCCTTAAAAAGATCTGTTGCGAGTCAAGCCAGGGCAATAATCTTTAACTTCTGGCTGCTTTTCGCGTCTCATAAACGTCTATGCTTAGGCTTCTTATTAGTGGTGAGCATGGCACTCCTCTCCGGAAATTTCCCATCAGTTTTCGGAAACGCCCAATGACTACCGATATACATTTTCGTACATACATGCACGCTTGTTCAGATCTCCGGTAATTGTCCAATTCTTTTTTTTTTCTTTCTTTTTTTTTTTTCTTTTTTTTTTTTGAGAATGACCTCGTTCCATATTCTAAAGTCTTAAACACACAGCAAGGCGTCCTTGAGCAAACTTCCAACATTCTACGAGAAGTAAAGCTTTGCTTCACCACTAATGTTAAATACAATTCATTTACATGCACTAGTTTAAACATGCAAGTCTGTAAATCAATCCAATACGTTAAGAAGTTGACAATCTTTACTAACCCTTTAAAATTACTTTTGTGTTTTTTTCCGTAACGTGTGACCACAGCAAATTTGTGCTTTCAGTAATTGCCACCTTGTCTCTGTATATGTTTTATATAAATTTTTATCATTTTCTCTTTTGAATTTGTAACACATTTCACGGTTGTTTGTTGAACACTTGAATGAGCTTTTCGCGAAATGTATTTTGCTCAGACCACGCCTCAAGCGTTGACTGCCAAAGAGTCGGGAACAAAATCCATGGAGGGCTAAGACGAGTTGATATTGCATACAGTAAGCGACGTCACACCTTTTAACTTGTTTGTCTTACATCTCTCACACTAGTTAAAAATGTCACAACGCGATATGACTCTTAAAAAGAAAACTGTAGCTTGTTCACAACTGTTGTGTACCACGCCGGAACATGAATTATACAATACAAAGACATACCCTCTCCAGGAATTTTCACACGAAAACGGTCCTTGCCTGTATTTTGAACCGTAAAAAATGAATCTAACCCGCTATACCAGAGTGGTGATTTTACGGCAAATTCAACCAATTCTTCGCCTGCAATAGTGAAACTTAGTCGCTTCTGTCGACAGTAGTTTTGAATTGAAAAATAAAAGAGAAATCAAACAGTTACAGCCGTTGTAGGACTGATGCTCTCTTAGTAAATGTTAACTACCATGAAAATGCAATGCCCCTCGACTTTCGAAGGATGCACATGTTATGTGTCACGCAATGCATAATGAGTGTATAAGTGTTATGCAGTTGACAAGTGAATTTCAATAGACTGTGTTCTTGCAACAGTTTCTCTGTCCTCGTCAAATTCATGAATTGTGTGTTTCAAAGTTTGGAAAACATGTTAAAACACATGTATAAATAGGTGTTCAAATTGTTGCACTTTCGAGATAAGGATGTTTAAAAACCCAAGGTAGGAATTCGCTTCTTATGAGTATAAAATTTCTATAAAATTAATATGCATCTGACTTATGTCTGAAGCTCCTTAAGTTATATCTTGTTCCCAATAAATTTAAAACCTCTCCTTTCTTTTGCGTATATCTACCAAACTTTGTATAATATTAATTAGGTAACCTTAACAGACAGAAGAGTGAACTTAGAAAACAACACAGGAAAAAATATTAATGTTTCTTCGAGGGATTTCGCTGTACCTTTAATTTTCTCTTTAATTTTCTTTCCTGCGAAACTTCTCTTACACCCTCGGCCTGACTAATTGTTGATCCTTCCCCCCGTCCCCAACTATTAAAAAGGCGTAATTTATTTCTCAACTTGTCGACATTCTTTGCCGGTGATGCTTAGAGACAAACCTGCCAAACACCTTTCCTACTGTAAACAGTTTCCGAAACAATGTTAGTCCTTTAATCAGATACATTCCTTTTAAGTTTTCTTTGAGTAAATATTGTAGAAAAGTCGTTTACGCGATAGTGGCAATAATCAGCAACATTCCCAATAAAAATGAAGTGGGAGAAATGTGTGAAGTTCACTCCCCTGTGTATGATTAACTTAACCTGCACATAAACTATAAATTAGACAATAAAATGATGCAGAATGCGCTTTCGGCATTAACGTGTATTATTTACAATCTCTGGACCAGTTGGACGTTAGCGACCCAACCAAAATCATTTACACGTTGTTGTTTAATATAATTGAATGGGTTTCCTCTGATAGCACATGGGTTTCCTCTGCGCACATCGAGTTGATAAACGACAATCTCATTATAATTTCTCCCGTTAAGTCAGAACTAGCACACCCTTATATCTAAAGCGGCCTTCGACTAACTAAACCAAGTAAGTTCCAGTTTTGAGAACACGCCGACAAAAAAGCACGATAATTCTTAAGTTATCATCACTAAGCGCGACTTTTGGGCAACTTTCTTTAAGATGCGGAGTCGTGAAAAGTTGCCGGAGAAACCATAAGCAAGAAACACGTAAGTCATGGCAACTCTGTTATCAGTTACTTACAGTACATAAAATAGGTGAAGTAAGTTTTCAAGGAAGTCACCATTTCCCACTTTTACTTGCTATTCCAATCTGATGACGTCTGTAGAACGGGAGAGGTCCAAAATCGTTGTCTGAAAATAGGCTCCCCGATGGTCCGGCACGGTCTGTTGAGCCTGAACTCGGTTGCTTTATTTCATGGCTGGGTTTCTTTTTCAGGTCTGCGAGATGAAAGTTAACCAAAGACGATAATCATAAGAAACAATTCGTTTGTTTCTGGGATTATAATTAGGACAAGCAAATGTTTTCGAGAAAAATGTGGAAAAGCGCGCATAGCAATTGGACCAAATCCCTGAAACCGTAAAACGTGCGGTCGAGTCTCTTTCGCAACCCTATCTCCTTCTCCTATGGAAAAATATCGTTACATCCCGAGGATTGACTGCAAAGAAGACTACTGGAGAGAATAACTTCGGGAAAAACTGCATGATTGAATCAGCTATAGATTCAAAGCTTGCACTGGCTTCTGCTGATATTGAAGTAAATCAGTAAGAGAAGAACTTTTCACGCCAGACTACTATCTCGTGGTTGTAAAGGCTTTTAAACTCCAACGGCGGGACAAGAAGAGGGGATGGCAATGCCATTAAAATCTAGTAACGTTCAAATTTTGGGACAAGAACTACATGTAGTAAAGGGTTTATTGAACTGGCCGAAAAAAAAATTGGGAAACAGGTTACGCAGAAGATACTAAATGCCTTCAGTAAGAATAACTTTGCACGTGAACCTTTTTATAAGTAGTCCGTTAAAGCTGTAGTGACTCCTATGTCTGATACAAAAATTTTTTTGGCTACAATAGCGACTAAACTCAACGCAAAGAAAATATCACTTCCTGTTCATTGACAGCACTCCGGCTTAACTCACCCTGAATTGTCAGAAGCATTTTCTTTCGTGCGCCAAAAGCAGTTATTCCCAGTTCCTTGAGGTCGTCGTCTGTCAAAGTCAGGAACGTCGGCAAGTCCACCTTTGCAAATACAAAATTATCTTTAAAATAAAGCCTTTTAAGTATTCGTTATACTGTCAAAAATTCTACTCTCTCTCTTTTCGTAAAAATAAAATATACCGGACCTCAAATATTACGGGTGGTCAAGAAATTATACTCCAAAGCTGAAAGTAAAAGTATTGCTTAAGCAGGGCAAGTAAATCTAATAATTAAGAGTTACTTGTCTGTGGTGAAAATTACCTCTTGTTCTTGAAAGGTTAACAGATACTTTTCCAGACCAACTTTCTCGAACAGATCCCGAAGATCTAAAGGTCACATAATAATAACAAATAATTAAAGAGAAAATAACTAATCGCCGATTACCTGCTCGGGAGTGTATCTAAAGGCAGATAAAGATGCTCAAGCGTCAGATCTGCGCTTTTAAGTGAATCAAAGCACTTTTATTCCGTTTCGTTCTCACTGTATTAGAACAAAGGAGTAGGCGAAAAAGAATCGAACACTCGGTAAACCAACCTCAATTTACATCACATCAACGAGGAAGGGCACTGGAATCATTTTTCGTATAATTCTAATGCAATTTTGATATATCAAGGCTGCAGTACTGCCAGACGTAAGGCATTCATTATGACATACAAAGTCGATTAGTTTCCTCTAGGTATGAGCGACAATGAACAAATAGACCGTGTGAACCAGAAAAATTAAAATTTAAACATAGGCAATTTCAGGTCATACCTGAACACGTTGAAGAAGATGTGGATGAACAGCTATTCCGCCTTGAGCCGATGGTTCCTGGTCTGTTACACTCAGCTACAGAAAGGAAACACAATTATAATATAAGTCAGTAAAGAATGAGCGATGTATTTGGCTTTTCAAAACGTCTGACGGCAAGTTACTCTTGATATGCCTCAAGCTACCCATCAAACTTACTCACCAGGTAATTCTTCTTCGTCAAGGCGTTCTGGTCTAAGCGTAGACTGCAAAAGAATGACAAAAAAAAAATTGAAATAATGGGAAAGGCAGATTCAGCGTACAACACCCCAACTACAGCAGCAAAGCTGCTCATATGTCGTGAACATCGAAAGCGTACATCATCGGGAATGTGTGCGTTTTAAAAAAAACCTAGCATTGGTGACAGTGTAGGGCAAAACAAAGTGTTAGCGTGGGAAGAAATATTAGCTTTCGTTTAGTTTGAGACGCACACGGATACTCTTGAAAACGCTTATGTGTAGTTGGTGTAGGCTGAAATAGGCTGAAACAGAACACACAAAGTTGAATTCCTCCTCCTCCGCCTCCTCTTTCCCCCACGGCCCCCCTCCTCCTCCTCCTCCTCCTCCTCCTCTCCCCCCCTCCTCCCCCTCTTTCCCCCTAGGCCCTGAAGTAACGTTTAGGCACGCCATTTTCGTTCGGCAAAAAGGCCGATTTGGAACACACAAAGTTGAATTCCTCCTCCTCCGCCTCCTCTTTCCCCCACGGCCCCCCCCCTCCTCCTCCTCCTCCTCCTCCTCTCCCCCCTCTTCCCCCCTCTTTCCCCCTAGGCCCTGAAGTAACGTTTAGGCACGCCATTTTCGTTCGGCAAAAAGGCCGATTTGCTGTCCACATCATCTGAAATTCATTATAACTTGAAGTGGGAGCCGGTAAAACAATAATACAGACCTCAAATCCACTTCTATTCCGCGATTCTCTGGGACCTGAGCTGAACAGAGAGGATGTATCGGTAGACTAATAAATAAAAAGGAAAAAGAAAAAAGTAAATCAGACATAAAAAAAATAAAAAATTCAAGTCGAGCAACTTATGTATGTCAGTTTACACCAGTATTTGACAGTTTTTCGTCATAACTGTCATCTTCTTTCTAACAGTGTCTATAACAGAGTGTCTAAACCAGTTTTATATTTAAGAAGAGATTTTAGGCGGCCAGGTTGATATAGTTACAATGGTATCTAAGAAAAGAGGCTACAAAAACTCACTTCAAAACTTCCATTGATTGATCCATTATAAGGTAAAAGATTCCCTTTGCTATGGGCCCTGAAATCCAGCTGAAAAATAACCAAAAAACTGTAACACATGACAACTTGGGCAAAGGAGAGGGGGATTCTTTTAAACGCGAATACAAGCTTGTGGTTTGGGTTTACCTTTCAATGAAAAACTTTTCGCAAAGAAAGGAAAAAGAAACAGTATCAAAAATATTCTCCTTCGAGCCGGATTTGAACCAGCGGCCTAAGGATTACAATACACGCTCTACAGTCCTCCGCTCTACCAACTGAGCTATCGAAGGAAATACACCTATCCTTTCGAAAATATCACTCATTGTATTCTGAAGCATGCTCGAAACCGGTCGCGCGGTCGAAATTTCTCATTAATACTTTCAAATGTTTTCAGATCGGCGCTGAAATGGTTTAAAACCCTGTGCTCCTGGATCACCGTACAACTTTGAGTAACATGAGTGAATTTTGGTTAAAACAACCTGATATTGCAACGCCCACTAGTATAAGTGCCATTTACTTACTAATTCTTTAATTGCTGATTCCGGCATTGATTTGGAGAATCCGAGACCGCTCCAGGTGCTTGTTGGTATCCTCACTTCATTCACAACTACTTTCTTTTGCATGGCTGAAAATAAAAAAAAATCGAATCATTAATTCAGAATACCTCACCTCAAATAGCGAAGTAACGTTCAATCAAGGGTCGAAAGAAAACCAGGACTTTGCTCCGCTTCGCTTTCCTTCATTTTATGACTGATCTAAAATACTTGCGTTACACTCTCAACTACACAAGTGCAAAACTAGAACCAATTTCGACTTGGTTTTTCGCATTTTCCCGCCCATGAGGGCGTTCGCTTGTTTTTTATTTGAAGTTTCATGAGATTATCTTCGTTTTCGATTTACGACGTTCAAGCGAAATGCGCTCCAACCGTCTTAATACTGATTGTGTGACTGACTGTGTACCTGATGGTGGTGACCCTGTGTAGTCTTTAATTCAATACTGTATACCAGATGGGATTCCTGCACGATTTTGTCTTACAACATCCAAAGCTGATTGTGTACCAGATAGGTAGTAGTGTTTTATACCTGTTGTAGATTCGCTACTTTTTAATAGAACCTGATACAATATTTACAAGGATTTTGGCGTATGAATATTCAAATTAAACTTTTATCAAGTTTTTGATTATGCATTACCAACAGTCGCCATGGACTTCATATGGTCGTAAATATCAGCCTGTAGATCACAAAAAGCTGAATGTTAGAGAAAACATATGAATTATTCCACTGTACAAAAAAAGAAAGCATCAAAAACGAAAACAAAAAAAAAAAAACCGCAAAAGTCATGTCTCCACGCACAATTTATTTTCCATCGTTATGAATGAAAGAGAGGGGCCATGGAAGAACACAGAAACATCCGGGAAACATCAACCAGTTCAGACAAAAAAAGAGAAGCAGTTCGTAATAACCCTGGAAGTATCTTACCGGTTGAGCCGGGGTATTTGGTAGAAGTTTCTGCAAGCTGAAAAGGAGAGAAAAAAAAAAAGGAAAGAAATAAGCAGGTTCTTTAATACCATTGCCTGTCTGAATCAACAAATAGGTAATGGGGGGAAGGGAAGGGAAAGGGGTGGCAACAAAAAAATTTAACGTGGACAACAATATAAAATTGTGTTTTTCTCTGCCGTTTACAAAAAATCTCTTGCTGGTATAGTTCAGTATAAAAGGCCTGGACAAGGGCTTTCCAATGAAATATTAGCTTGAAAGTGTGACAGAAGCAGTTGCATTTTTTTCTTTCGTTCGTCTGATATGCGTGTCTAAGAACGTTTATGCTCAAGTTACATAATATTGACGAAAAACTTGTACCAAACGAGAAAAGTGGGCAATTTCTTGCGTATAACTGTAAATCCTTTGTTTTCAGTGTGTATATCGTATCGTTTGAATTCAATCTGCACCGTGATCTTTGCACTACTCTTCTTTTGTAAGTATTAAGAGGGAAAAAATAGGAGGGTCGGTTTCCATACTCAAGCATGTTTTGAAGCTGCAATAATTCCTTCCAAATATCATCATGGTTAGGTTACCTTTTCTATGGTGAGAATTAGTATTCAATTTGTTGGTAAAGTTTTTAATCAGTTTGAAAAATGCAAACAAAGTGATGGTCCATACACCGCTTGAGTGAGAAGATGACAATTTAACTCTGGTGAGTTCCGAGAATTTTGTAAAGGCTTGGACACTATTGTAAGTATGCGCGTCAGGAATGCAAAATGCAACACCCCGTAATTTCTTTTCACACAAGATGAGTATTTGAACTTACAGCGACAAAGACGAACTAAGGCTGTCATCTGGTTCACTGGGATCTGAATTAAGACTTGAGGTACTATTACTACAAAAAAACCACACAGCTGAATCAGTATTAAGAAAAATCAGGAAAGAAATAATAAAATAGCGTTACTCACCGAAGACTAACATTTTTAGCACCAGACAATATTTGAACACTTTGTCTTTTAGGACCATGGGTGGCAGAGGATCCTAAAAGAAAAAACACAAAAATAGTGTAAAATAGATATATACGGCACACCATGCATCTCCCCGCCACATAAAGAATTTAGGGAAAACCAAAACGACCTCGTATCTAATAATCACAGTTTGACACAGATTTCCCTTCAAATGAACAGATGAAGTTTTTGTTTCCCTGTAATTTGTGGCGGGGTTTCCTTTACTCTGCTATGTTTTGTTTTTCGTTTTGTTTTATCGCTTCTTCAAGATTGGGCGCAAATTCATTGATTTACATTACCAGTAGAAAAGTTGATTCCAAGTGCATTTGACACAAGAAAAACTGTGAAGATTGATACATACCAACTGGGTTTAGGGTTCCATCATTGCTGCCGTGCGTCTTAGCGTCGTGATATGGCTGGAAAAAGACGTGAGATTATTAAGCTTAAATCTTACTCGAGAATTCATGGCTGGCCGCGATATCCTTGCGCCATGCACGATTTTGAGCTGCCAGTGACGAAAAGTTGCTTCGTCATTGCCTGAACGTCTGTCTGTCGGCACGTACATGTTCATCTGTCGTTGGTCTGTCCGTCTGGTTGGGCGTCAAAAGAGCTCTCTGGCTTGCTCCTCGTGTAGGTCCTTACTTACCAAGCTTAGCAACGTCATATCACCTTGGTGTTGCCAGATTTCCAGCCATATATGTTGTCTTTTTATCTCTCTATCATGTTATTTATGGCTGTCCGTTCGTACCACTGTGTAGCTATCTTCTGTCTGACTGTTGGTCTGTCTGTTTGTCGGTCCGACAGTCCGTCTATGTTTGTCTGTCCTCAACGTACTCTCATCATCTCAGTAATCTCAGTGACACAACATTCCAGTAGGTGTTGCGAGTATTTCAGTTTTTAATGGTTCTACAACCGGGATGTCAAGATGTCAGTGTAACTATTTACCCAAAGCTGTCTTCGTTGCCTCTATGTATGTCAGTCTATCAGTCAGTCAGTCTGTCTGTCTGTCTGTCTGTCTGTCCGTCTGTTCGTTTTTCCGTCTGTCTCTCGGTTTGAGTGTCTACAAGGCTTATAGTCGTTTCCTTGGGTTTTTTTTAAAGTGGTCTACTCCACAATTACCACAAGTGCACTTTCAAGTCTTTCGTCAGTTTTATCATTCTATCTTTTAACCTGTTATTGTTAATCAGTTTTAAAATTGTCGGCTGTTTATCTCAGCGTTCTTTCTAAACGTTTAACCGTGTTTCATCTGCACTACTAAAGAGTAAAAAAAAAGTGTTTTGTACGAGTCGAAATAGAAAGCAGTGAAACGTATAAGTGTACTTTATGTATGACAGGAGTAAGTTTAAAAGTAGTGAGTTTGTTACTGGTTAAGGGTTCTGCAGCAGATTGCGTTGACTGGTGCGTGTATCTCGGTTCTCAGTGCGTTAACCGCGTGTTCAGTGAGTCATTGTTACTTACGATAGAGTCAGTCAGGTCATTTCCGCTGGCCACGCTGTTATGATTGGCTGTGAAGGAACAAATCAACACATCGGTCAATCTGATGTCAAGATGTTTTATGGAACAAAAGCCGTTATTTTTCTCCCTGCATTTGAGACAATTACTGATGCCAAAGTTCGCTGCTTTTCCTAGACAAATAATTTTTAGACTCAAAACCACGACACACTACTAGCAAGCAGTATCCACAATGGAAATCATATCTACATTAACAATTTCGCAGCTGACGGTGGAGAAAGGGCTCAAGGTTCTGTCAAACACTTTGAGGAATCATTTCAGTAAAATAATTAAACTTTGCTCATCGTCGAAAAAACTGCGAACTTTATCTTGGTACTCGTTATCTATTTTCTAGATTAGTTCCAGATCTACAAAATAGAGTTGACTGCGTTACGAGTACACTACCCATTACACCAAGGAATCCTGTGACAACGAAAGACTGGGCTCGAAGAAGCAGACCAATAACAGGCGGTTGTTTCGGCGGGAAAGTGATGCGGCACTCTTCCCAAGCAACCGGCTACAACAGCATCAAAAGGAAATTTTCTCCTTCGGTCTGGCGCAGTTTTCCAACCAAGTAATATTTTGTTAGCTTTTCATTCTTAAGAATCTTTATTCTGGTGCTCCATGAACCAAGACATTAAATTTTCGCAAACTTTGAAAAACGATGAAATAACACTGAATGAACTACGAAAACTACCGGCTATTTCACGGTCAGTTACTGGCGATAGGCTTCTTTCTTACAATTCTCATTAACTTAGAAAAAGCGCTTAAATACAAATCCTAAAAACACACAGGCAAGCATGTTTAATTAATGCCAAAATGCTGCTGGCGTTCGGTTCAGTCTTTGGCTCTTGGCTTTCATCAACTACTATCTACGTTTTTCTCGTTGCCATGTTCCCACCAATAACGTAGCTCCATTTTCTGCCTTTAAAAGCACACACAACCCACAATTCCTCTATTTGCTCTGACGAAGGGCTAACGCTTGAAACGTCAGCTTCTGTAATCGTTACGGTGGCCAATTTACCATTTCAACTTTGTTGATATATCCAAATTATTACTATCTACGCCTTTGAGGGTTATATTGTTGCATCAAATAAACAACTTTATACCCACAAATCCAAGACATACAGCTACTAGAGAAAAAACTAGCTCACCAAGTCACCGATACTTAACGAAAATAGAATTTACTTCCGCGCGGAGAGAAAGTTAATCTACGCAGATAACATAGGCTTACCATCATCCTCAAATGTCATTGGGCTTGTGCACGTAGGACTTCTAGGACTCAAACTTCCAGATGAGCTTCGTCTCATAGGACTGCCACTTAGACTCTGTCTGTCTTCAGGGCTTGGTGTTCTTTGTCCCTGGGGACTAATAGCTCTTCGACTCAGGTGATCCTGTGATTTATGACTTTGTTCTGCACCTGCATGTAAACAAATCAAATATCACCATGAGATGTCGACAGCTGCACTAGTGTTGGTAAGTTTGAAACAAATTTATCATTGAAATCAATGTATTTAGCCTTAATACACACGTAGCATTAATATCATAATTGATATCAGAAGCATAATTATAGTGTGCAACAGTAATCTCACGAATGAAAAGGATGACTTTGGGAAGGAGGCGTAATAACATTGAGAAGCAAAAACCACTGTAAAGGCTGAATTACGTATTATAGAAACTTCCTCGATATTTTATCAACATTATTACATGGTGCATGTTTTCAATGAATACAAGAGGTCTTCGTTACACCTTTTCATGAATACACACGAGGACAACCCTTATCTCCAATACAATTACATTTACCTCTATTATAGAAAGTTAAGAATATCGTATTCTACCCTTGCAGGGTTTACTCCAAATATTCCATAAATTTTTGCGAACGTGACCACAAGGAAGTTTTAAAACCATAATAACAACAAAAAAGATCATTTATTCACTACATTTCTAGCTTTTTGTACTCTGAAAATCATTTTTAGTCATTGCTCATAACATTACTGCATGGCCATAAAAACGATAATTATTTTGTCCTAACTGAAATTTCTGTAATCAAATGCTACATGTAGGTACTGGCAGATAACCCTACATAGTGCACTTATGGTACTATTACCTATACTCATGCCGCCAATGTAACCATCTGAGCTAGGCATAGATCCAGAATAATTTATAACATAACCACCCGGAACATTGTTATGCATAGAAGCCATTGTCACTGGTGGACCAAGGCCAGGGGGAGGTGGAGGATTGCTTGGATACGTTGTTGAGCGGTTCATAAGAGGATTAATTGGTGGGGCCACTAAACCACCAATTATATTCGAGATTGTGGGCGATGTTGGAGCCATGGTTGAGGTAAACCATGGATGTGGGTTGTTGGATGCTGGATCAACAGGACTCAACATGGGACTTGTGTGTCCATTCATGTGGCCATACACATAACCAGGGGGTGATGAGCTGAGGCTGAGCTTACTGAAGTAATTTCTTGACATATTGTCTGAGGATGAGATGCCGTGATCAACTGAGCTTGATGTTGAGATTGTTGATGACACTGCAAGATTTTCATTACCATCCAGTCCTAGAATTTCTTGTCTTGCAATGTACATCCTTGCAACATTTTTTTCTGCACTCTTCACAATCACAGACTGCAAATAAACATGTGTAAAAAGATTTAAATTATATGGCATGGTTCACTACATGGTTTAAATAAAGAAAGTGTACCTACTAATACAAATTGCAGAATAATGCTAAAGACTGTTTTAAACACTTAAAGATCATTTAATCTGTGAATAATTGTATAAGTTATAATTATAAAATAATTTGTGGATTAATTTGACTTTTACATGTAGACTAGCCAGGAGAATAAAACTTCACCCCATCTTCACACCCATAATCCCTGCAATACCTCAAGCCTCATTTGGTTACCTTGCTTGGCTGCTTGGGTTTTGGTTTTACACTGACAAACACATCATATGCCTCCATTATCTTATTCAAATTTGCTGGAACAAACAGAAAATGACATTGTTAGCTTTATCCCTATATTAAAAAGAGCATTGTTTCTAATTAAAAAATACCAGACATGAATGTTACTTACATCTACATTAAGAAATATGAGTGTTAATAACATTTAAGCCCAGTTAGAACAAGTTAAAGATTTTAACATTGCTTGGGTGTAGATGCAAACACCACTTTTGAAAGCAACGTTTTTGTCACTGTCATATTTCTTTTCTGTAAAAAAGAGTCTTACGTATATCTGGATCTCCATCTTCCTCTCTCAAATCAAACATCAATATCAGGGGCAGACAATCCTAAAAAATAATGGATCATGGAATATAAATCAGTTCAGGCCTTCATACAATTATTTTATGCATGCTCAATAATCCAGGACTGGACAAGGGTAATAAAAGGACAAATTCTAACTCCTCTGAAAAATATACATGAACTGTCATTCAGTTAACTAAACTATATTAAGAGTGTCTTCTTACGATAAGCTGGGATCTTGCTTCAATGACGGCATCAACTGTTCCAGTAAGAAATACGGTGCCTTTCCTTTGTGTGCCATTGGGATCAGGAAATAAAATACTGCAAAGAAGTAGGGATGTACAGGTGACTTAATTTTCAAGTTCAAGATTTTCTTGCAAAATCATATTGGCACTTCTTGTTAAATAACTTTATAGGGAAAGGACATTGGTATATTGGGAATGTGGCTTGCATGTGTCTATCATGATTGAGCATATGAAAAGATAGGTGCATTAACAGTGAGCTTATCATAAACAATACAAATTACTGAACAAATCAAAACACAAATTCAATTTCAAAATGATTTGCAAAGTAAGCACCAGATCCCCATATCACATACATTCACTCCTTTCACAAACTAAACAATTTCAGACATCAAAATATCAAGAAGTAAAAATAAACATATCAAAGCCATTTGAAGGGTAAAATACAGTGCTAGCAGTAATAAAAGCTAATTCTTTGTGCATTACATACAAAACTCACTTTGCTCCTGTCCTTTGCATGATTTGCTTGATGTTAATACCATTTCTTCCAATTATAAATAAGTGATGCTGAGGTGCAATATCTATCTGCATGTTCACTGGAACTGAAGACTAAACATACATGAATAATGATGTTACTAGAAATCCCTTTAAATTTGCACTATCATAATTTATTAGTCAGAGTTAACAGTCAAAAATCATAGAGACAGATACTTTCCCTAATTCAAATGGACTATTGGCCTACAATAGACTAAATAGATTAAATATAATATAACAAAAATTTTGAAAATGGCTTCCAATGATGTATATCAATTATAATGTATCACTTCTGTTCACAATATTAAACTTACAGCTATTTTTGCAGTTAAGTGTCCAACAAGATGGGCAATAGCATCCTAAGAACAAAAGCAAAAAATATATTTAATTTAAAAACCACATGTATTGGCTTAACAAGTGTTTTCATCAGCTTACAATCAATAGATTGACTTAGATTTTCCAGTTACTGGTAATAGGCTAAAATTTTTATGTAAAGTGAGTCTGCATAATGAAGATCAGGCAAGATCATTACTATATTGTATATGAAGAAGGAACAAAATGCTTAGACTGGTGATTTACTGTGTCTATAAAGAGAGATTCACTGCTCGTAATCAACTAAAATGTACCCTTGATGGGTGTCTCGCTTAGGTGTCTCTTAAAGGGATGGGGGGGGGTGAGGAAAGGATGGACTGAGAGTTCACACTCGCAAGCACTTCATATCCTTAAATAGATACCTATAGTAATGAGTTTGTACTAATAACCAAACAATCATATTTATAATCATCCTAACTCTTATAATAATTACCATTCTATTAATTGTCAAAGTGGAGGTGAACAGTGGAGGATATTTACCAAGCTGCTTTCAATGACACAGAGGTAAACAGTTTTTTTAATAAAATACCACGTGATTTTGTCTCATCAGCAGCTTAGAGGTGAATAGATAATATCTTATTAGATGTTTTGTTGCGTAGAATCGCTGAGTATTGAAATTGTCAGCCATTTTTTTTTTTTTGTAACTTCTGCAATCCAATTCTTTGCTTGCATGATGCGAGAAAACCTGTCTGAGCAGTTCTCTGGAGTACAAATACAGTGTGATATTTGTACTTGTCTATGGCATTTTTTGTACTCTATCGAGTGTAGTTGGATAATGATACTAGCTATTCAGTTTCACACTACCTAATCAGTGTATGCAAAAAGCATTATTCACCTGTGTGGTATTTACTAATGATTATTGTGATGAAGCTACACATGTACAAGTAACCATTGTTAGATGCTCTTCATGGACTGTGCCTGAGCATAAATATGTTGCAGATTAAAGTCCTCAATCCACCTAAAATGTTCACACAAAAAAATCTTGTGCAAAGAAGAACACTGCAAATACTGCTTTTAGTGAAATGCTCTTAAATTTGTACAAACCTTTATGCCACTAATATGCTGCTGTAATCCTCTTATAATTGCTGTTTGATTTCCCACTCTAGGTCTCTGATAAATAGAGAAAACAAACAAATGAATAAATTGTGATACCAACCTCCTCCACAGATATTTGTCAGTACACAAATGACCAATTCAGAAAGCAGACAGTCTTTTAGAGCAAAGGCTGAGAAAAACTGTGAACTTAGAGGTACAAACAATGTTAAAAAATAAACACAGTAGATATATACACTGCTATGGTGTTAAAGAATTGAATCAGTTAGGTGTTAATGAAGCAGGTTTCCACATAAAGTTACATAATTCCCAGATCAGATGTAAGAGATATACATAACATGCATTCCTGTTTTAAATAATAGTTTTTCTTTCAAGTGGCATTAAAATTTCTTTCAGTCAGCCCTTTTTAATCCATGAGTGATTTCTTTGCATAGGGACACAACATACGCCCCAATGTATGAATATTTTCAAGGCCAAATGGAGATTTTTGTTTTCATTACCTTTCAAATGTATTTTTACCATGCTCACCTGTTTGAAAGAAATTGAGACATTGCAGGTTTGGGCTATATGCTGGATAGTTGGTGAATTGGCATCTGTTGGTAGTCTACCACTCAAGGGTAAATCAAATGTCAGAACCAAAGGCAGTAAATCCTGATAGAGAGATGCAAATTTGAACAATTATTTCAGCTCTTAATCTTAATCAAAGAATTTGCTCTTTAACTTTGAGTCATAATTCTAATTACCCGGATTTGCTGTCTTGCACTTTCCACGCCCAAAGGTTGGCCAGCAATAGACACCTGCAATTACAGAAATTTACATACAAAAAAAAAATACATTAAATCAAAATAAATATTATCACATTATTATAATTAATGTAGGCAGGCATGTCTGGCACATGACTGTAGGTATCTGAAGTTTTACTTACTCTTCAAGAAAATGTAACTTAATTCAGGCACAATTATCTCAACAAGGAAAGGCATCTTCAATGTTGGAAAGGTTGTCATTCTCTATCACACTTTGCTGAATGTGTTCCTAACAGTTATTTCAAAGAAACTCATAATCACAGTTACAACATACTTGATTACTCTTTTCATTGGTAGCTCCTCTGTTTGAGTCAGGAAAATGAATGTGACATCCAGTGTCTTGCATAACTACAATAAAAATAACAAGTAAGTAATCCATACACGAAATTGTATCTTCGATAACATCTCACACTTTTTAATGGGATGGATTAGAATTAGATCTTGGGGTTTCTATGGAGTAAACAAAAAATTATTCAGAACAAATTGGTAGGATTTCATCTTGTTTCAGAGGACAAATATCACATTTGTGATCTAGTGTTTTGATGCTTACATCATCTCATATTACAGCCAGTTGGGAAGACAAAAGGTCAAAGATTGAAGTATGTGAAGGTCAGAAGTGTTCACCATGATAGTCATGAGATGTGTACATGTACTTATTAGGTTGCCAACATGTTAAAATAATTGTTACTGTAAACAATTTATGTACTTGTTAAGTAAGTTGGTCTGCAGTTGCTCTGGCATATTCCTTTCCACACTCTAAAAGAGCTAGTCTAGCTCCCAATCTTTAGATTATAGTGCCAATTTTAACACATCATTTCTATAATTGTTTTATATAAAGATTCATGCAGAACTAAATTTTGTTATTCCAACCCACAGTGGGTCATTCCTTCCTGCACAACAGATAAATCACTATCCAGCAGATAAGTGTGACAAAATATACTGCACTACCCATCTGACCCGATAGTGATTTTTTCAGTGGATATAGCATTATCCACCCTTAGAACAAGTGGGGTCTGATGAATACCTCAAAGGAAATAGATAGCCATAACCTCCATTTGGCAGTTGTCCCTCTGATTGTTCAGTGCCAGTTATATTATCATGCATGTTAGTGCTAATCCTTCCCCTGCTTAGTCAAGCCTATGATTAGCAAGTGTCTCTGTTTAGGAAGGTATTTTAATCAGTGGAATATGGACTTAACTTACCTCGCTTAATATTCCCTCCTCCTTTTCCAATAATATGGGAGTGATCAGTATGAGAGACATCCATTTTAAGAGTCACCCTGTTTGACTACAAGTTAAAAGTAAACATCACAATCAAAAGTCTATTGGTAAATCTGTGAGAAGATCAAAATGACCAGGACCTTGTAAATTGAAGCGAGACAAAAGAAAAAAGAAAACAGTCTACCTTTGTATCTAAGACTGCCATGACTTTCTCTTTTGCTTGTCGTACAGAGTCTGGCAAGCCAGCTACCTTAATATGGGGATCTGAAAAAGTTGATCAAATATAAATTTCTTTCTTCCTAGACCCTCTTGACCATTAATTATCACTTTAAAATAAAAAACAAAACAAAATAAAAAAATTAAGTAATGATGATAACCATTCTGACTCATCTGGTACCCTTAAATAGTGGTAAATGCTGCACACTTACCTGGTGCATAACAAAGATTAACACTAAAATTATGAGATTGAAACTAGTCAAAAAACTTGTTACTAAATTACAAATTTTCAAACAATTGAAATAGCGATAATTGTAATATGACCCATTCATTCCTGTTCATACATTCCTACAGAAAACCATACCAAAAGCTGATGTGTATAGGGTGCAACAGACTGACTGAATACAGTGTAAGCTGTCTGATTCAGTACTCAAAAACAAGCCCGTTGCATTTTACAAACATGAAATCTACTTGATGATTTATACTCAGTCAGTAAGTACAATGAACGGTGTGTATCATATTGCCTTGTTAAGAGATATATTCCTCTTGCAAGCAAAAACTAGCATAATTTCCTTTCTTATCACTATTTTTTCCCAATAAAACTCATTTGTGCAGGCTTCTTGAGAAACTTTATTTTTTAGTATTTTATCAAATAGAAAATTCCCTACACCTGTCCCTTGGTTATCAGCAGGGGTCCTTTCAAACCTAGAGCTATACAGTAAGAACTTGAAGTACATCCTTCTGGAGAACTAAATCTTAATTTCAAACCTGAAAGGGCTGAATAATTCTCCTTGTCTTGAGAGCTCTTAATTAAAGGATAATTATAGCTTAATAGGTTTATATATTCTTTGTTCTACATCAATCTAGATTTTACCCACAGTGTTATTCTGTAATCTACAGCCACATTTTTTAAGTTTTGAGACATTTTATTACATGGGCGCTGGTTCAGATTTTGAACCAAACTGCTTGAAAAATAGTATCCACATAGGGGTCCAAAAATTTCTATTCTGGTTTACATAATATGAAAGCTTAGACCAATGCTTTCCTTTTACTCTGAGCAGTTTAACCAATTGGAATAGTACACTAGAATGAATCCTGTTAGTTGATGTTGCTGTTCTTATAATTTTTTTTTTTAATGCAAGTTAATCAAGACATTCAAGTTTACAATTCTTCAGTTACTGTTTGTTTGACCTCATCAAGTTTGAAATTCATTACCATGAAAATTTTATTTCTTGAAACAAAAAATATCCACACAGAGAGATAGCCAGCCACGCACACTTTCATGTTTTGCAAACTATCACACAAGTATTCTAGACAACAATGGAATCAATAACTAATTAGATTATCATCTGGCAGTATTTGCTCATGCTAAGATACACCTTAGCAAAATGCTTTGGATTTTTGTTACAAAAATTACACTGTAAGCTTTCATGCCATATAACCTGTTTAACAGTATTTGAAAGGATAAATAGATAAAAGAAAAAAACTGAGCAAGAATTCTTTGAATTAGTTCCACTGCTGGGCTTAATTGCTACAGTGTCAGGGTCAGGTCAACATCACCAGTTGTTTACTCCAAAAAACAAAGGCATCTGCACAGACTTTGCAAACTCCAATCCTTCCCTGTACCACTGTTATGAAAATTACCATGAAATCTTTAAACATGTTATCATAATGTAGGGATTTATCAATTCAAATATACAGCCTTGGATAACATAAAGTGTCCTGTTTATATCTCATGACCCAAAGAGACACAGTTATCAATCCCCCAGATAAAATCAATAAAAACAAATTATTAACTATTCAGAAGAAACAAAAGTTTAAAATCACACCTAAGATGGAGGAAAGTTTTCTTGGCAGTAATGATGGAGACTTCCTCACTGGCTCAGCTTTATCACTTGGTACTTTTATAAATCAGTTCTGTTAATTTAAGCCAGTTTCTGACATCTCTGGCGAAACACAAGTCCTTTCCAGCCGGTGTTTACTTAAGTTAAACAAGATAATTATGGCGAGCATTACAATACCGAAAAATGCACAAAACAAAGAAACTTATTTTTGCAATGAAAATTTGCCATTGGTTTTTTAAATCAAACTACACAAATTAAACGTAAATGGGAGGTCATTTTAATCTCGACTTGAAATTACACTGTAACTTCTGACGCGTGCCGAGTAAGTTCTTGGACGCGGCTCGATGCTTTGAACTCACGTCAAACGATGCAAATTAAGTCTATTGTTTACTTCACTATTTCGTAAATACTTAGAGAACATTATCAAACAACCCATACGACTCGCGATCTAACCAGGAGAAATTACAAACATCGACAACAAAATCATTTTCACTTCGCACCTTCTATCCCGCACTAATTTAAAAACAATTACGATATTGTAAAGCGTCATTAGATGTAGAGACACGCGAAAGAACAGATTTTCCGCGATAATTGCGTTTGCTTGTCCTTCCCGTCGAGACATGAGTCGTTTATTACGTTCGTGCTTGGAAATGTAAGCAACAAAAGCTAGATAAATCAAAGGGCACGAGGTCAGTTCACATGCGTGACTCGCTTCAACAAGCGTGTCGTCGAAATGAATATTCCCAGTAGGATCGTACATGCATGAATGACTCGGGGTACCGACATAACAGAAGAGAACAATCCTTTCTACATCCGTAACCTAATTGATTTCGCGAACACCCTCTTGTGGCTGTCGCGGTAAAATCTCACTAAGACAACGAGACATGTTTTTACTTTCAATGTAGAGTGACTTGCTCGTTTCAGAACAAATTCGAATTGAGACACTCAACAATCAGTCAAAGAAATTTCTCAGAGCGTGCCATAACCGGCCCTTCCGATCTATACTGCGCTCAGGCGAACAAAAGAAATTGGAAAGAATTTATTTCGACAGAATCATCATGCAACTAAACTTTTTAGTGCTAAAGCTGGATAAAAAAACACATGGCAGTATAGGTCGAATCGCGAAGGATCAAACAATGCTGGAACATAACCAAATATAATTTAATATTACGCCGTCAATTCGTTTTTTAATAGCTGTATCTATGGAGAAGAAAATGCAAAACAAGTCAAGCTAGAAATAGAGCCAGCGAAGTATTGTTCTCCTTCTCCCTTACGTTACAGTTCATCTCCGCCAAACAATAGATTTCTAAGTTTTCGAAGGAAACACTAAATTTCTTAGTTTACTCCACACCTTCCGGAAATGCAAGAATCACAAAACAATCGAAAAGAGAAACGCGATTTTCGTCTCGCACCATCGAGCTCGGAGACCGCCTGAAGTAATAGTTATTTATAACAGAATAGCTGCAATTACTTTGCTTTTCTTTCGAAAGAAAAGCTTGATACAAAGGACATTGGCCACAAAGGAGAATTATTTTAACCAACACAAAAGCTGTTTCTGCTATCATTAGTCGCACAACAAGGTTCGTTCGAGACACGAGGAACTAATAAAAGCAAATGATTCATTTCTGTGAATTTTCTATTTGGGACAATTGGTATTGTCAAATTAAAAAATGTTATTAAATGTTTGCTACAGAATACGGGCCAGCTATTCAAACGAATCAAAACAATCACGATTTCCACTTCAGTTTGCAATAGTTTGAGTATATGTGACCCGTGCTAAAAGTACACTATCATGTCAACGAAGCGAACGTGCCATTTCACTTCTCTCGTTTGGAAGGACTTGTTCAGGGCCAGTGAAATTTAATCAAATCAAGCTACCCTTGACGACCCCAAGAGCTGTTTACTTACTAACCTTTCTTTGATTTCGCTCCGATCTTGAGTTTCGATGGCCATGTTATCGTGGTTGCCGTTTCTTCCATAATCTACGACACATACCACCACAAAACGATTTACAACACAGCTGTAATTATCTAGCGAGTTAGAACGATAATTTAATCTCCTCAAACCTTCTGGAAGAACTCCTCGCCTGTTTGTCCACATCCTGCTACTGCAGCTAAAAATCGCAAACATAGAGACATAATTCAGCCGATAATCAAAGCAAAGTAGAGTCAAGAGTAAATAAAAATCGCGAGTTCCTCCAACTAATGAGCCTGACCTTGAAGCATTTGCTCAAGTTTACGTCGGTCTACGCGAAATCTCTCCTCCACTAAATTAGGATCCCGCTCCTCGATAGTCTCATCGGCGAGCAAATCTTCTTCTTCGCTGAACTCGAGGCCTGTCGCCATCTTCATCGTTAATCAAGGCCTGTCAGGCCAGAGTGAGTGAGCACGACAAATTTCACCCTGCATCGTATTGCGGTGTACAGTATCGTCTAAGGCCAATCACGTGGTTAGAGGTGACGTCAGACACGCCCTATTTAACACTAAGTATCATTAGGGAAGAAGCTAAACCAGCCAATCGTAACGCCTCGTAATAGTAAAATTGATGTTTGATTGGTCTCTCAATGGGTTGCTTTGCCATGTTAATTGGTATAATTAGTAATCAGGGACGATCAATATGTGAGGTACAAAAGATTCCGAAGTAACCCTCTCTCTTTTGGTCATTCCAGCTTCATCGACGGTCTCAAATTCGCCCATTATGCGCGCGATAAACTTTATTTTTGGTTTGATTTTTCCAATCATAAAATATTTATTAGTTGTAGATCGGTTCGATGGACTCCCGCTTGGTCGATCACGCGCGGAAATCATTGAGCCCATTGGAAAACAAAAGTAGCTAAACAACGCAAGATATTTAAAAGTCCCTTACCTATATACTCAAGTCGGTGCTCAGCTAAAAGGAAAAGTGAATGGGTCAGTGAACAGTATTCAATAAATGCACTCTAGAGAATATTCAAACACTAATTTTTTGGTTCTATTAATGGCAGAGATCATCTACTTTTCCTTGCTGAAAATTATCCACGGTATTTTCTTCAACCAAGGAGGATACAAAAATAGATAAATAATCTAGTTAGCAAGGATTATTTTGTCTCCTTCTCCCAATTTGTGCGACTGATGATGTAGATAGACTTGTTAAGAAAGATATCATATATCACAATAGAACTGTTTTTTAACAAACAGATTAATCTGCAAATTAAGTCTGCACCAGACCAATTTAGTTCACTAGGATTTCTTTTCTCCAAACTCCGAGCCTCGACCGAAAACATTCTAACGCTGAAGCTCCTGATATTTGTTGACCCCTGACAGAGGCCACTTTTAGCTGCTAAGCTTCGTTAGAGATCGTCCAACGTTTAATGTCTCCATGATAAATACACAGTTCTTTTAAACTCTTCTTCACCAAAACTCCGATTGAATTCCAGAGATGCTCATTCTCCCATGGCGTAAACTTGATAATCCTCAAACAGGCAAAATAATGTGAAAATGTTGTCTTTAATCAGATCTAGAAAGTTGCATCAGATTTCTTTAACAGCTGCAATTAACTAGAACTAACCGACTGTTGCTAATTTCCTAAAAGTCCGATAGCCATCTCATTAAGATATAAAGGGACAATAGCGGTTTAAACTTCGCTTTCATCAACCACAACTTGCTAACTACACACTTTTTATAACGCAGAAACCGTCCACTGCAAGCAAGGAGAGTAAGTTAATAAACTCATTGAAGCATTGAAGAAAGCTGGTGGCGTGGTTTCTTTAACAGCGATTCTCAATGATCGCGAAACGACCCGTTTAGAGCAAACAAGCGCCCATAAGCGTTCTCTACATTCCAGATCGCTTAGTTCAGTTAACAAATGAATATTGATACAACAATAGCTGGTCGTGGGCTTCTCTGACCCGCTGCACACCTCTTCACATGAACGCTCTCACTCACATTCGCTCCACTGAACGAGAAATCAGCCCTGTGCGTGTAAATATTCATGACCCATTCAATGAGCTTCACCGACACAAAATATATTAATAGAGGCGAGTGAAGCTTTGAGACTGATTGCATGAAAGCCAGTGAATTTTTTGATTGAGGGGAGTGAACCAAAATGAACGTTGAAGAGGGGGCAAAGAGATTTCATAAAACACCCAAGCGAGCTATTAGAAAACTCTTGATTGACTGATAATTGGCAGGTTAGTAATGGGTACATACTGAGTAGCTTACAGACTAAAGGGTCTCGTCATAACATAGACAGCCGGCCCAGCGCGGTTCAGTTTTAAATGTTCACCGAGATACCTTATTTCACTCTTTGATAATGTTGTCTTTTGCTAATCTGATATATACCAGGAGAAGGCTGAGTCCACTTTGTACCCTCTGGTTTTCAAGGAAAGAGAGCCTTACACTGAGTTATAAACTCGCGTGAGTCATAGTCCGTTATTTCGTGTATAACGGTGATGGGAAAGTAACTGCACTGCTCTGTTTTTGTAACATTTAACCTGTTTTACGTCTCTGTCTTTGCACTCTCTTCCCTACTAAACATTGCAGTCCTCTGCATTTTATTTAACTTGATGTTCAGTAAATTAGGCAACGGGAAATTGCGTAGTTTCCGCTCCGTTTTTTGTTTTAGCTTCAGTCCTCATTTTATAATATGTTTTGTTTTGTTTTCTGAGTTCAAAATGATCATCCTATTATTATCATGCATGTGATTGTTCAAGTTTCCTTGGTAGTTTCGAGAATTGCACCGGATTTCAAAGTGTATAAGTACTGCGCCATGTACTGAGCGCAAAAATGCTTGCTCAAGTTGTGTTAGTATTCTTTTTATAATGGAGTGGTGAAAGTATAGGACTTTCTTGCAAATGAAAGTAACATTTATTGCAATTAAAAGAATTGGAGAGCTAATGCAACGGTTAGTTAGTTATTGTATGTCTCGGATTAAATGTAAATGATGTCATGAATTACTACTGAAGTGTTCATACCGTCAGCTGCTGTGCCGAGCGTGAGAACAAGAAGAAGTCAAATAATAATTGCATCGCCGACTGATTGTATCATCAAATGAAATATGGATTTTCTAGACCATGGTCTGCGCTGCTCATTTTGAAAACGTTGCCAGAAGGCTCAGCTGCAAGAGTGTGACATACTTAACTTGAGGTAATTCCCTGACACTGGACAAAGATCTATCTCTTTTGAGGAGGATAATCGGAAGCTCCCTTTGATCTTCCAACAAGGCGTGGTGTGGTTATAAACAGGTATACGGTCTTACATGAAGCTGAATATATTTGTATGAGGGAGCCTTACTGTGTTTAGTAGGGAATAGCTTATCAAATAATACCCAAGCATTTCCCGGGAAAGGCAAACACAATGAAAACGTCAATGAAATAAGTTTTTCATTCTTTCCACGATCGTTATAATATATTAGAAATTATCAGACGGATCATTTCAAATGCTCCTTCGATACTTCGTGTCTAAATGATATTTGGCCTTTACAAATTATGCCGAAGAACTGACACTTAAACGAATTAAAATGTTAAAGAACAAAACCGCAAAAGAGTATTTTACACACTAAACGGGAAATTGGATGGTTACTGATGGGCAAGATTACCATGGATTACTGAGAAATAAAGAATTTCAAAAGTTTAAGCCGGTTATTTGTGGTACGAAACCCATGACGTAACTCCTTCATGGACATTCGACAAACGATCAGTCGGAGGGGACTAATATCGGAAGTAATGTGAAATGAAAATATTGCATCGTCCATAGATGTTCAGATTCCTGTTCATAGAAGTCACAAACGCAAACAAAACCGACAAGTATATACTGCCAAGTTGACTTCGCTTACAAGTATATCCACATAATACCTATTGGCCACTAATTGAAGTCCGTCCACAAATCAAAAGAACGGAAACCTCTTTATTACTTTGTGACCTTGTATTTACCTGACAGAAAGTCTTGTACGAGAGTTATTATTGAAGTGCATTTGTTTGTTTATGGTACACCTGGAGACAATTAGTATTTCTAGTCACGTACGAAAACAACCCGTTCCCTCCTGCTCCTGCACCACTCAAGATTGTTATCTTGGGCGTGGGCTAAAACCCAAGGTCACAAATTCGACGGAGCTACAATCATCTCTGTGGCACAATGTCCGTGATAACCATTCTTCTATTAACTCTTGTCTAATCGAAAGCAAAAGGAATAAACGAAAAAAAGTAAGCTTTCTCAATTGCACTTTCCGATGGAAACTAAGGGCCGGGCTGGCAAAGTGTTCGCAGTCACTCTTGTTAGTTTTTACAAGTGATGATACTGACCGGCCTGGAAAGTCCTTTAAGCTGGATTAAAAAAAACACTATCTAAAGTACTCCATCCAAGCTTTATTCTTTTTACTTGTGTATTCATTTAGTTATTATTTTGTTGGGGCGGCCGTGGAACTGTTGAATATAGATAAATTACAACTTTTCTCAGGCTGAACTGTATCACTATGACCGAGTTAGATAAAAGCTATTTACACCTCCCAGGATAACTTTCAAATCGTCTTTTAATATGTTGTATTCCTTAGTCTTTGAAATGTTGCCACGGGGGCATACTATACACATCTCTAGACTTTTCCAGACTCTCAACCAGTGGGGTCGAGCAGAAAAGAGGGTGGAAAGGAAACAATTTTTTTGTTTTTCTCTATTGCCTGACCCCTGCCGTCTTTCGTGCGGCACATCTTATTTTCTTTCTCTAATTTCTACAGTGCGAGCTTGGCACAGGCCAATTTGTTTCCGTCTAGTACTCCTGTGTTTTAGGTTTCCGTATCGCTTTTTCCAATTCCGGTCACGTATACCCCCAGATACTAGAGATGATTATTGTCCAAGTTAAAGCCACTGAAACAGGAGATACTAACTGCTGGAAGACACAGACAGCAGCGCGACAAACACAATTATGCGCCTGGCTGCTTGTTTCAAGCCTTGAGGGCAAACATCGTGTCACACCGATTAATTTTTGTCATTAGTGAAAGCCTCATGATATTTTACACAAATGCAAACAAAGGAAATTGCTTAGTAACTGCATAACATCACGAACACGTACAATACATATGCCTCACTTCCTCTTCGACCTCTGTATCACCGAGTAAGTTTGCAGAAAGCTTCAAAAGGAGGTTGGAATACGAAAACTAAACAGAAATCAGTGGTCTTTTACAGGACCAGAGTTGGTTTTTGCACTTTTATTTGTACAATTAAACAGGATTAAAAAGCTGTCACGTAAATCATAAAAAAGGCCTAAAACACTTCCTGTTTGTACGTGTAATGTTGCATTCCTCTTACATCTCGTATCAAATGACGAGTCTTGTAACTACAGGAGGAACATAGAAGACATAAAATGAGCAGCTCCAACAAAAGCTATTCGAAAAAAAAAGCTTACGTCTGGTTATTTTTGCCAAGTTATTGGACTGTATAGTTAGATCCTGTTTAAAAGTAAGCCTCTTGCAAAATAAATAGACAATTCATAAACCACAGTTAGCCTTTCTATTCTTTTAATTAGTTGTTGTTGTTGCCTTTTTTCTTTACTATTGAATTCGTATAATACATTACATGGTTGTCGTTCGCAAAAAAGCGATATTGGGTGGGCCAGACCAGGACCACAGTCATTCCCTTTGGAGACATTCTCATTAAGCATGGAGCACAGTTAGGATGCTGACAAAAGATGTTCAAAGTCTGGAGTGCATATCAGGCGATGATTTGTGTGTCCAAGGCAAACCATTTCTGACCTGTTGTCTTCCGTGTGAACAGCGACGACGTCCTAAGTAAAAAATAGAATCAAGTTTGTTCGTTTAATGAATAGTTGGTTGGTTTCTTTCTTCTTTTGGCCTGTTTTTGATCTTTCTTTTGTGATGGAAATCAATATGGAGTCCTCAGCATGTTGAGCAAACTCTATAGGGGTTGAGCTCTCCATACACATAATATCCAAGAGGTACTTGACCTGTAAAACCCGTTTCTACACCTCACGACAAATTCCTCTCATATAAAGATTTCACAAGGAGCCTTGTATGCTTACTCTAATTTTAATTCTGACGTGGTTTTCCTTTTCTACGATTTCTCGAACACCCGAAATACTTGTTAAACTTCACACTATTGAGAACTTGTTCAAAAGAGAAAGTAGAGATTTATACCTGTAAAAATCCACAAGGTGTTCCCATGGTTACATCGAGAGCTACATCCCCCAATAACAACCTACAATGACAAACTTCCACTGTTGAATATTTTTCAAAATTTTTGTAGATTTGTTGCGTTATCGTCTCAGTTTGTTTTCAGTTTACGCAAGGGGTACCCATATCACTTTCATTTATCCCTTACACTACGTTGCGATCAGCTCTCACAACTTAACATGTTTGGTTGTTCTAAACTGACTAAAAAAAACATCTCTCTAGACTCAATTTGTTTCGTTTTCTTGTGTTGTATTTGTTTTGTGCAGACGAGGAGTGGGAGGTAATTCATAACTCTGCATATGTTTTCAAGTTTGGCTGGTTACGAGAGACTCTTCATAGGTAATGTTGTTCATTGCGTCGGACGTAACTTTGCGTAGGCACGTCATCGGCGCTCGCTCGCTTGTTCTTGAAGACAGTGCACAAAAGATTTAGGAGGCAAATGGTCTATATTTCAAAGTCATAAAATAATGATACAGTGACAAAATTATAAGTTTTCTTTCTTCATACCTGGCTTTACCAGACCTCAAAAGCTGAAGTTTACCGATATAACCCTCGGATGCATTCTTGAGTGACAGCTTTTGAGGTTCTTTAGACTTCAAAGCAAGAATAGATCAAATTATAGACACGAACGTCAATATCACATTAGAACAATTATCCATCGAGGAAATTTAATTTATAATTTTAAGGTAATTTCCGTTGATTATGAGGTTATTTGCTAAATAGCTTTATCAACTTTGACAACGAGGTTAGTATAAAGCCGTATTGTTTGATTATAACCAGCTGATCTAAATAACTGTTTTCAACAGGTAAGGTTATTTTCTAGTCTTTCATATGGTCACGCCCTCTAGAAAATTTGTCGGAAAATGCCACATTCCAGAATTCTTTCAAGTGTTATTAGCGTGAAAGCAGTTATTCTCAGATTGGTCACGCGACCTTCTGCGAAAACTTGCCTGAAAATTTTCAATGACAAATCTTTCAAATGTTTGTCGCAAGAAAGTGATAACTATGGTTATACTGATACAGGTTCTGGTTGAAATTGTGTGAAAATATGACACGACCGAGTGCTTGTGGAGATTTTTCTTTGGAACGCGACTAATCCTGTTATACAAGTTAAAAAATTAAAAAAAAAAAAATCACCATTACTGGGGAAAGTTTTGCAAGTTACACAAAGAACGCACTCTATGCAGTCAAATCGTAAGCATCGGGCTGCATTTAGAAATACTTGCATACATGTACATGAACAACATACTGGAATATAAAATGTAACGTTAATGTAGGTGGCCCCCTTACAGGAAAAAAAGCCTGATGGACAAGAAAAACCACTTCCCTTCCCAATTAGACAAATTACGGCCCGATTTAAATCTCACTTCGAAAGCGGAAATCGAAAAAAAAATTGAAAAAAAATAAAATAAAAAAAACATGCGAGCTTATTTTAACATTGGGCAGGTAACTTTCCCTTCTGTCAAGCTGATAAGGAACCGCCCTGGAAAATATTACCCCATTTAATTATCTTTGTTTTTTTTTTGTTTTGCGAGTTGGAATTTCTAATGCTTTTAGTTTTAGGCCTAAATTTCATCAGTTAGACATTTTCGTGATTAGATTATGGTATGCAGGGCTGGAAGAAAAGGAGAACAAGATTTAGCTGACGACTGTTTCATTACTAGCTGATCAAACACTGCTACTGCCTGTTACTTTTCATTTTTTCACTCCAACAACTTAAAATCTTTTTTAGCAGCGCTTTCAGTAACTAAAGACTAACTACAAATTCACTAACTTTTTGAACATACACTTCCAAATTTCAACGAATTTCAAACCTAGTATCATCCAAATGGAAAAAAAAAAACTGCGGTAAAAGTCACACTTGAATCTAGGGATCTCTTAGTGCAATCAGCCACACTACATTTAGAATACAATCCAACCTCCTCTGGAGCAGCTGTTTGTTCACTGGATGTTCCCTCTGCAGTAATTGGCTCATCTTCATCACTGGGAGGTGGTTTGATGGGCATCACATCAGGAAATTGAAAAAATAATAACTTACGCTCTCCCTGAAATGAAAAAACTTTTATCAACAAGGTTCACTGTCTTGCTTAACAGAGAAAAATAGAAATGTATTATACACCTGCCCATATTGTGTAAACAAGGGAAAAATTCATAATACAAAGATAAAATAACAGAGTTCAACTCCATAAAGATAATCTAGAGATACACCGGGCAAAATTACTCAAACAACAAAGAGACTTTAGTAAAGTACATGCATGTGATCAGACAAATAATTTCAAAATATCGTGTAATTAGTTTCATCCATACCATCGATGCTGCTGACAAGAGACTGGAAAGATTTGTTTCATCCTGTGTTTCTTTCTTCACTGCTACTTGTTTCACTGGTTTCTTCACTGTTTCCATTGGAGAAGCTTTTCCTGAATCAACACTGTCGACATCCATGGGCTCACTTTTCACTAATTTGCAACAGAATAATTATTCGAATAAGTAAAGATTTGGTAAAACATTTGACAATGAAAAACTGCGATAAAATATTATAAAGCATGACACGACGTTTCGACGTTTCCAGAACGTCATTATCAAGTAAACTAAAATAATAAAATCGAGTATATATATAATGAAGCGGTGAATAAATTACAAAACGTTAAAAGTTAAACAAAGAGTTTAGCCCTAATGGAATCGCTCTGGGTGTTTAAATTGGGCCTTATTGTTCTTATGTACAACATTTCATAAACAAGACAATCCCATTTCGTGCCGCATTTTTTAAGCATTCTAAACTGGCTCTCATTGAGTAAGTCAATGTTCCCATGGGCATCTCTCAGGTGGTCGCCACCTGAGAGATGCCCATGGGAACATTGACTTACTCAATGAGAGCCAGTTTAGAATGCTTAAAAAATGCGGCACGAAATGGGATTGTCTTGTTTATGAAATGTTGTACATAAGAACAATAAGGCCCAATTTAAACACCCAGAGCGATTCCATTAGGGCTAAACTCTTTGTTTAACTTTTAACGTTTTGTAATTTATTCACCGCTTCATTATATATATACTCGATTTTATTATTTTAGTTTACTTGATAATGACGTTCTGGAAACGTCGAAACGTCGTGTCATGCTTTATAATATTTTATCGCAGTTTTTCATTGTCAAAAGAATAATTATTGAATATATAATAATACTATACCTGTGATGTAACGTAAAATAAAAAGCTGACACCAATGATATAGTTCTCTAGGATTTTCCTACTCCAGAAAATAAATACAAACTTCTGAAACCTGGATTGAGACCTCCAAGAGTGGGGACCCTACACGCACCAAGTGTACAGCCTCTATCATTAAGAAAGATTACCAGTGCAATATCACAAGCATGTGAGCCTCAGGAGTCTTCAACATGGAAAGAAACCCCACACCTTCAAATTCTGCAGTGCAACTCTCCACTACCTAAGACAATTTGGTGGTGAACTACAAGCTTGGCCAGAAATTACATTCATATAAGACAAGCATCCTGCATACTGCAATGATCAGTAATTTTTCAGGCCTTCTTTGAGTGTTTAAAATAAAAAAAAATTACTGTCTTTCTTGTTCTATGAAGCCTGGCTCAAACCAAGCTTGATGTCTGTAAAAATTGCTGTGAACTTTGCCACACACAGAGCCACATTATAGATAAACAAATGAATAATTATACTACACCTTTCATGTCAACCTCCATGGTGGTAGATTCAGCTTGCTTTTCATCCATCCTCATTGCATGGAAGGACAATGGCAATTGCACCGGCATGATGCCAGATTCACTGTCCATATCATCATTGATATCCCCCTGATTACCAGCAATTAAAAACAGTCACAAGTGACTGCATGTAAAGTACCTTACAGTTCCAGTTCTGTATCAGACCTATGGGTTATCTTTCGACATATATTACATTATACAGTTTCAGATGATTTCACGCAAAATTTTGCTAAAAACTGTCATATTATATAATTATGTAATTGCCCATGTTCTGTAAAACTATGTTTTGACAAAGGCCAAAAAAATTGGGTCACAAACCTCAAGTCCAGACTCACTGGTGAATTGTCTGCATGTTCTCGAGCAATTTTCAATTGAGCATGACTGATCAAAACAATTTTGCCACCCTACTAACCAATCAGATGCTCTTTCAAAATTAATATCCTCTTTGGCTCCACTGTTCTCAACATTAAGGTCAGACTACTAGCCCTGAATCAACTTTTACATGCATCCATAAAGTTTAACATAGTTATAACATTGAATAATTATCATTATTGAGTTCAGATGTTGCTTTGCAATTCAGTTTCATAATGACCTTTTTGCAATAGTGGAAGTTTGTACAAAAATATTATAATTACATGACCATGCTGTGGCTACAGTGGTCATGCAGTGTTTTCACTCTGAGACTTACACTTGTTTCTAGCATCTTGAGAACTCTTCTTGATTCTTCTTCATCATCATCACCCCTGAAATATCAATTTTATGTCTGTCTTGTTTAAAAAGATGGTGTCTTAACAATCCATGCAAGACAACCCTCCAACTTTTGGGAGATATTAGTGGCAACATGAACATGATAACGTTTTTTTCTGAATTGTATAGTAAACTGGTTACCTGTTCCAGGGGTCTAATTGTGAATGTCTATGGCACAACACAGGACACTTAAATGTAATACCGCTGTAATATTGTTTAAAAGGGAACTTTCCTTTCAACAACCAGGGCCAGATTATGGCATAAATGAGATATGGCTTGATAAAAACACAAATGTTTTGGTAAATTGACATATTAATTGATTTGGCCTTTACAGAAGAGGATCGTAGCTTTAATCTACCCTTTTTTAGCTGGATATCTGGTAGGGGTTTCAAAATGTTTTGAAGTAGGCAGCCGACTTTGGAAAAGTAGGCGGCTGTGATAACGCCAAGATTGTTTGTCACGAGCAGACTGTTATGACCAGAGTAGCTGGCAGCATACAATCAAGTAGCCAGAAGAACTCCAGTGGTCGCCAGCTTGTTTTGAAACCACTGATCTGGAAGAAGAATGACTTACTTGTGGTACCCTTCTTTCTTAATTGTTACAACAGGATGACTGTCCCTTGTTCCAGATGCACCATAATTTGGAATAGGACTTCCTTGCCCTGGATTTGAAATATAAATCAAAACATCATTATGATAGTACCAATTATTGCACTTTGCTATGATGAACATGTAGACTTGATATTAAGAGTACCACAATTTTTCCAAAGGTCCTACTTGATCTACTGGTAGTTTCTTGTATAGTAATGGGTCAGTTTCCTTTGATAAAAACAAATTAAAGTTGTAACCAATAAGTATCAGCTTACCAATTCTCTGTTTCTCCACAGGGCCCACTCCCATTGAAAAAACTGAAGAAGCCTGGATAACGTTAGGCTTGCCCCGCAGCCCTCTGCCTCGTCCTCTTCCCTCTCCTCGTCCTCTTCCCCTTCCTCCATCTTGTTGTCTTCTCTCTTCTGACCTCTAACAAAAAAATATCATTAAAAGTATCTCTCTTGTTTATTTTATGTTATGCACCTTGAACATTTTTGTAATTTAGAGAACTATGCTCTGCAATCTGACATTTACAACATGTAGAGGTTTATTGCAGGTACAACTTTTAAAGGTGAATAAATAATTTTATGTATTTGGGAACTGGCTCAAAACTACTCCAGCTTTGTTTAACCCTCACCCCTGGTGACTTGACAGATTCCTCTTTTGGTCTAAAAGGGAACAATAAACAAAGAACAGAATTAACCACTCAGAAAAAGAATATATCACAGAGGTTTGTACCTTTTTGGTTATGTTTGCACAGCTAGTCCAAGCAAATAAGGGATGCTCATAAAACCATGTAATCAGTCCAAGTAATATCAACAGTCCAATTTCAGCACTTAATGGATTTTCTACCCAGTAGTATTTTGTAACAGGACATTGTCATAAAATTCCCTCTGTGATCACACTCCTCAGTTAACATGTTAGACTGGTTCATTTTTCTTAAGAGCTATGTTATATGATCCCAGTCTAAATTAAACTCCACTTGATCCTATTAATTAACATTCATAATTTTGCTATCTTACTCCTGTTTGATCCTCCTGGTGGGTATATTTGGAGTAAATGTTCTCTGAAATTTTGAGTAAAAGGTATATTAAACAACAAAAAGGAAGCATTACCACTTCAGAGTAGATTTAAACAAATGAAATTAAATAGTACTTAACATTGAATTGCACAGCCTTTATAAGTGAAACTGAAACTTGCAATAACAGTGCTTATGCATGAAAAAATAACTCAGTTTCTCTTGATATAGCCAGCCTGTAATTTTATAATTGCTAAAACAAAATAAAATAGATTTTTTTTCTACAAAAAAATTTATAGCCCTACTCCCAGTGCAGAATAAGAAACAATAATCGAAAATTTGAATACACACAGGGTAAGGATAAGCTGGTCTAAGCACAGGCAGCCCAAGCTCACTACTAGAAAAGCAGATGTGACTCTTACTGTGTTGCACAACGTTTTATATTTATAAAGGTTTGTGTGGGATATTATCGGTTTGCCTTAAAAGAGAGAAAAAAAATGTCTTGTTTTGAAATAAAATGGGCTTACCTTATTGCCTTGTTGTTTTCTTTGTTGATTCCTAATGTCTCAGACCATTTTGAAGCATTTTCGGCGAGTTAGCGTTATGTTGGTGATCAACTGCTAAAAGAAAGACAAGGCCGGAAACCTATTTTAGAAGTGTCCGTCGCCCGAAGCGAATAATTCCGCCAAAAAATTACCACCAGTCTTGATTCCTCCAGAAAATCAAAGCAGAAATGTTGCAGTTCCATTTCCATTCACTCAATTCCCAATTCCTCCCACAGATCTTTCACTAGCAATGCTTTTATCTCCAGATCGATCAGCTTTCCAATTTCGCATTTGGCTGCTTCAAACATTTGTGGGTCCGTTCGCCGATCGCACAGTATGTTGGGTTATAAAAATAAGCCCAGCGAGGGTAGCCAGCAGCCTGCAGTCCACAAACAAACCAGTTAGCTCCCCTGGTCCCCTCGAGAGGTTTCAAGACCACATTGTTTTGATCGATCAATTAACATCGAATGGAAATGTGTGATCAGAACAATGCGGTCTTCACAAAACCTCTCGAGGGGACCAGGGGAGCTAACTGGTTTGTTTGTGGACTGCAGGCCGCTGGCTACCCTTGCTGGGCTTATTTTTATTACCCAACATACTGTGCGATCGGCAAATGGGCCCACAAATGTTTGAAGCAGCCAAATTTGAAATTGGAAAGCCGATTGATCTGGAGATAAAAGCATCGCTAGTGAAAGATCTGTGGGAGGAATTGGGAATCGAGTGAATGGAAATGGAACTGCAACATCTCTGCTTTGATTTTCTGGAGGAATCGAGACTGGTGGTAATTTTTTGGCGGAATTATACGCTTCGGGCGACGGACACTTCTAACATAGGTTTCCAGCCTTGTCTTTCTTTTAGCAGTTGAACACCAACATAGCGCTAACTCGCCGAAAACGCTTCAAAATGGTCTGAGACGCGAGGAATCAACAAAGAAAACAACAAGGCAATATGGTAAGCCCATTTTATTTCAAAACAAGACATTTTTTTCTCTCTTTTAAGGCAAACCAATAACATCCCATACAAACCTTTGTAAATATAAAACGTTGCGCAACACAGTAAGAGTCACGTCCGCTTTCCTAGTAGTGAGCTTGGGCTGCCTGTGGTCTAAGTCAAGTATAATTATGTACTTTGCCTCTTATTCTACCACATGCATTGGAGAAACTCAACCATAAAAACATAAGTCTTTGTATATTGCTTGCATGATTACTAGTTTCTTCTCTGAGCAAATTTGAATTTGCTTTTTGAAGCTTGATAATTTCTAGTACACAAGACTGCCATTTGAAATTTACATGTACATCAAAATCACATTTAGATTCACCTTTGGTGTTGAACTGAAAGAAAGTTTAGGCGTAGCTCCAAGGGTCAAATCTCTAGCTGGTCTGAGTGACGGTAGTCTACCAGGACTGTAGGACAATAAAGTATAGATAAACTCAAAACAGCTTGATTATACAGTTGTACTCAAAGATTATTGAAAATTCTCACATACATCTATTTATAAAGGTTATTTTTAAGTGATATGCAGTTTTAAAAATGACTGCATGATTAATCAAATTTACTTTTCAGGTATTTTCTAATTAGCCATACCTTGGGGATGTATTATTTAGTTGTCTTGACAATAATGCTGCAAGAAAAAATATCAAAAGGGGAGCTCAAGATTATTGAATGTTGCAATTTTAAGATCAATTCCAGTCAAAGTAAATCCATTTTGAAATTACAGGTGACCCTTGTAATCTGATTAGCTCCTATTAGTGCAATTTCACCACTTAAATTGAATCTTTTTCCTGGCTAATAACGAAGTGTTACTAAAATACAACCACCTGTTGCTTGTGTAAAGAAACCAATCAAATTGCAGGGAAATGAAAAGCAACTTCTGCAACTTCCTACAAGCCAGCTCACTACTGGATCAACAAAACATTTATATAGACTGAAAAATACAGTATCTGAGTAAATAATTTTTGCGATTTCATAATGCATGTAACAAAGTGGTAATTGAACTTCATGTCATTGCAAGTTTGGTCTGAAATTGTACTGGTGATTTCAAATCAAACTTGTGCAGCACACTCAGTTCAATTACTAAAAAATAAATACAAACATAATACAAACAAAAAACAAATTAACCTAGTATGCGATCACCACAAACCAAACTCTACCATGTATACAGAGCAATTTTCAATCTAGAGGCAAGAGTAATCTTTAATTATTTAGTAAGTGTTTTGATTTATTTTGCTACATATATGTGATTTAAGCCCAGAAAACTTGCAAAAACCATCGTGACTTCACCATTTGCATTGTTCTACCCTTCAGGCAGTTTCCCTGATTTTCACTGCCCTCCTATTGGCTCCTTAATTGTGATGTCCTCCGTTAGGTAGGTTATGATTACTTTGGTTTTGGTATTAAAATACTCAATTGAAATGCGCTCTGACGTTCAAAATTCGTGACCCTTGACAGGATTTCAGTTAAAAAGGACGTAAGATGGCACACAAAACGTGTGACATGGCATGGATAGGTCCGCTTCCATGACAAAAACAAAGAGCATCAGGGCACCTTGTTTTGTTTGTTTCAGCCATTTTCCAAAGGAATTAAGAGAGCCACAACTTCGTGAAGTTTCTCAAAAAAACAAAAAAGAAAAACCATACAACTTAGATGATTAAAAAAATATCTTTCTATCGTTTGGTTGAATTTAGCACCTTCTAAATTAATTTGGGATGTCAGTAATGAACTGAACGGGAAACCCTGCTACAAGCGACAATTTCTTTAGTGAAGTAAGCTTAAACACAAACCTCTTGCTCCTAGGAGTGGAGTCTTTCTTGAGCTACCCGGTACCTCTTTCTCTGCGTTGCCATCGTTACCAGACATCACTGCTACTATTTTTTCACAAAACGTTCATTTTCCCCCTATCAGTTCATCGAATGGTCGATAATTCTTGGTCTTACCTTCTCCCAAAGATTTGAAAAAGTCCTTCCTCCAACCTTTCTTCCATATTGGAAATACGATGTCTATTGTGTTGGCCAGCGGTTACTGTTTTCAAATAATTTTTGTCATGTAAATCTTGGCTAGTGTTATCTCCATTTCAGTTTTTCCTGAAAAAGTTGCACAACAGCAGAATATGCTTTTGATGATAGCCGGGATGGAAACGCGGAAAATGTAAACAAACAACCAATAAAGCAGCATGTAAAGCTTTACAAAACAATTCGCTCTTACGAAGAGCTAGCGCACAAAATGTCAGCTTTAGAAACCGTTTACGGTAAGCTACTTACATCACCAAATTATCCAATCAAACATAAAGAAAAGTCTCCTGTCTCACGATGCTGTTGTAGATAATAAATTAATCATACACCACCAAGATGAGATCATGATATTTAGGAATTCCACAACACCTTTAGAATATAAAAACGTTCAGTTAGGGTTGGTAAGTATAGCATTTTTTCATCTGTTAGACATGAATGTCTAAATGTCATGATTATATGACAAAATTACATTGTTTTTCTATTTTCCGTCAACTGCATTTTTCGGTACTTTCAAAATTGCCGGATGCTATTCAGTTCCACCATCTATAGTCAGATAAACAAACAGAAAATGCGTAGACAGTGTTTTGATATTTATTTCGAAGTTTGGAGTGATCATTTAGAACTGATTAACTGATTTTGTTTTCATCCTTTATTAGGGTTGGCCATAGTCGTTTATTCAAGTACTTTGATTTCTGGCCTCCCCTTTTTTGTTTAAAATGATGGTTAGTACAATGATCAACTAATCTTTTTCGTATATGTAGATTTCCTTTCTTTTCTTTTAAAGATGTATAGTTAATCACACGTATTTTTTCTCTTATTTGTCGTAATCGACGGTAATTACCGGCTACAGTATTCGGTTAGAAAAACCCTTTTATTTTGAAGATACAGTAATTACGATTTAATTTTTATCATATATTTCTGTATCCTTGCTAGATCAATATTGAATATTTCTTTACTGCTTGCCTCGACTGACCGTCAGCAGTGTTTATTTTGTCTATTATTTTTTTACCGTCTATTGTATCGATTTCTGTTTTTCAATTTTAAACTTGATCTTTACCATAGTAACCAATATCAATCACCTCCTATGAACCCTGACGTGAAAGACAGGTCAAAGTTGTTTTGAGTTTCACACGTAAGGCTATGAGAGGTTTCATTTTTCCTTGGAAAACGGCGAAAACGAAAACAAAAATAAATGCCTTAAATACGAGCCGAGAAAGAACGAGACCAACTCGACCAACCAGGTAAGATAAAACACCAGATAAAAAATGAAAGAGAAAAAACTATAATTAACAGCTCAAGAAAAAAAAACAAAACAAAACAAAACATTACGCGTGTTTCAATTTTCTAAGCTTCCCCTCCATTAGCTTTTTAAATATTTTTGAGCAAGCTGACTTTATTTCTATCCATAACAGTTTGTTGTTTGTTTTGATTATTCTCCTGAGTTGAATAACCCTCTCAAATCACCAACTTCCTCTTAAAGCTCACGAGCTGCTCACTAGCTGCTCCTTGAAAACAATCGGCAGTATTTTTACATGTTTTACTGATCAACCTAGACAGGACTATGGAGATATACTATGACTTCTGAAAACAAACGGAACAATCTTACTATAAACAAGAACAGATGACACGACCTGTCACCAATCAGAAGAGAGCTTGATGCTGCTTCAAGTGATGCCCAACTACCATGCACTCAGTCTTGATGGTGTGCAGATTGTTCTTTTCGACCAAACCATGAAGATCACAAGCCCATTGGTTTAACAAGTGGTGGGAGCTCCAAAGAATTGGAAAAACAAACCAACGAGCCACTGAATAACATTTCGATAGAGTTAACGGAGAAGCGAGTGGTCAGTTCGCATGAGGCGGATCGGAGTTTTTGCACTCAATGACTCGCAGCGAACGAGGATGAGAATTTTGAGAAAAAAAGTTGGGTGAAGACGTGGAAGGTTAAACGGTAACTCGCCTTACAGATTCCATTAAATTACATACTTTAACAAGTTCAGTTGAAAATGTCGGGGTCAACAAAATTTCGAAAAAAAAAAAGACGGTGATCACAAAACTATGATATATTTAGTTTCGAAATTAAAGAAAATTAATTCTTTCATTATTTTCTGTCAGTATGCAATCAACCCTTTGGGTGTAATCTAGTCTATGCAAGCCACATACCCTGCGTAAATTGATTGGTAGAGCAACACACTCTTACGAATCTGATTGGTGGGAGTTAACATGCCCCAGTGAATTAAACTGGCGCAACTAATATACTTTTCCTATCTGACAAGTACGAGAAACGTTCTCCAGCGAATTCGATCGGTATATGCCATATACTCAAACGAATCTGATCAGTATGAGCAACGTACCCTGTGCAAACTAATTTGTGCGAGCGAAATAACCTGTGCAATCGGATGGGCGCGGACATCACCACTTTCTACCAATGACATGTTTTTTTGTTTGTTTGTTTTTGTTAGTTCTGTCTTTCAAAAATCAGCTAAATGAACACTTTAAAACAAACCATAACAGGTCGGTAATTTTGTATTTTATTCATTTAAGAATAAAAATCTACGCAAGACTGAGCTCCCTGCGCACATACTTATTATCTCAGAGTGTACCATACTTAGAAGGTTTTATTAGAGTAAGCCGTACAACGGCCAAAAAATTTGGACTTTAGGCGCACAAACTAACATATTTTAACCGATAGTCGTAAAATAAGTAAACCGTTAAAAAAAATTCTGGTTACACTGTAACAATAATGGAATGATCTTAACAGTTAGCCGTAAAAGCCGTCACCTTATTGAGACCCTTTTAATAAAACTTTACATCTCAGATATAAGTTTAAAATTTCAGAAATAAATCTCAGGCTTCTCTCTCTATAAAAAGTTTACTTTTAAAAACATCGTTTCTAGGTTCCATACTTTAGGTCCCGCCCCGGCCTTTAAAAAAAGACGAATTTTCTAACACAAATTTAAAAGGCTTAAAAGCTAGCTTCCGTTCCGAGAGACGAAGTAAACTCGGCAGCTTCCTTTAGAACAGTTAACGGCCTTTCAGGGCGGCAAGAAACCAGTTTGCGAAATTCCCTTCTGAGCTCGCCATTTGTGAAAGTGTAAATTAAGGGATTTACTGAAGCACTCAAAAAGAAGAGAACATTACTAGCACGGCTGAAATTCTTGAGCTGGTTTCTGAGGAAAAACGAAACGAGAGGACTGGTGCCCACATTGGTATCCAGCAACACAAAAATCCCGCGGCCACAAGGAACAAGACTCGCGTAATGTTTGTTTCTTTCACTGAGTTTCGTATTACACCATTTTCATTCCTGTTCTGTAGCGATATGATTACATTCTACTGATGGTCATGGATTTTTAAAAATATCTTATAACAACACGAAATACCGATACACAACGGTACAAAGAAAAGTAATCCAATAGTGATGCAATAATGAACGATTCGACTTTCACTGGTTGGGTAATCAAATGAGCACACTGCGTAGCTTAGGAAAAATTCAATTTTGAGCCAATTTGTGACTCGGACGACGAAGAGACAAAGTGCAAGGGAAAGCCATAAGCAACTCAGCCATATCTTAGATCTTCGGGGTGAGAAAATCCTCTTGTAGTGGTTCGTCTTTACAATTTTCACGTAGCGGTTGACCGGCTGCTGTCAAACCAAAAATTGCTGGGGTCACGTTTGAGGCGGATATGTCAGCAAAGCCTTGAATTTGGCATAAGCAGTCGCCAAAGACCCATTTTCCAATGATCAGCTTTACAGACGCTAATGTTATCTCTATTGTTGCAAGGAGGAGATCGCTGACTGCTTAGGCAATCATATACAGGTTGGCGGTTGTTCACAAGTTTGAGTTTCTGTATGCAGCCATAAAAATCAGACTGTTTCCAATGATGCCTATAATCAGATACAATGAAATATATGAAGTTCATATATTTTGAACTGCGGTATTAGATACGTATGATGCACGATCCTCGCAGTAGATAGCGCTATTGCTTAAATAGCACTATCTACTGCGAGGATCGTGCATCATACGTATCTAATACCGCAGTTCAAAATATATGAACTTCATATATTTCATTGTATCTCATTTATCACTTTCACGGGTTTATTACGAA